ATGCTTTGTTTGTTGATTAGAGATTTCCAGACAACCACCTTTTAATTTTGTTATATAGTTAGTGCTTTAAACTTAACTTTGACCACTAGGTTTTTTTTAATGTATACGGAAACCCATCATTCAACACAGGTGGAAATTGTGAGGATTATTTTTTATGACATTTGTCTTACGGCAAGGATTTGAACCTCGATACGAGAATCAATCTCGTACCACCATTATGCCTGCAAATTTCTTGTATTTTCGTTTTAAGACTCGTCTCGGCACGGATTTGAACCTAGGTATTGCCAATACCACCCTTTAGTCACGATTTCTTTTATGTTAAAATTGTTGAAAGCTATGTTGTTCAGGTTGGGATACACTCTGATTAATTTATTTATCGGATTTTCATTAAAGCACCTTGTGGTAAACGACATTCTTCGTTTTTTGGTCAGGTGCAAGAACACCAACACGGTTTACCAATACGTGAGCATGCCACGTACAATTGACCATGAGAAAAACACGCATTTTCTAGATTGAGGCCACAAATAGTCAAAAATTGGCCCTGTGATTTGTTGATAGTAAAAATTGTATTTTAGAACCCCTAATAGGTTTTCGACTCTTACAGCTACTCTCTACTAAATTAAGAGTGATAACTCTTTTTGTGTACCAAAAGCAAACAGAATAAAATGTATATAAAGTTAAAATGAAAACAATGATTGATTTTACCTTTCAATGGATTAATCATTTTGATACTAAAGTGATATCCATCGTCACCTTGCCAAAACATCAGCGGGTATTGTAAAGCGTCATATGAACGGTGCGTTTCAGATATTCTTTGCAGTTGCCTAGTACTGCGTCGTGTAAGCACAATATCGCGTGCTTCCAAGCTTTCACCAACAATCACGATTGCCATCTCATCGATTGTTGGAGCATTAAATATGCGTTCATGTGTTCCAGCTGGTCTTTTATCTGCTCTGATTACTACTTTATAGTCATCTCTTGATGGTCGTGAAGCATTTGCTGCAAATCTTGGAGAATTGCTCTTTTCATAGCTGTGTTGATTTCTTGACGCCGGTCAAGTTGTTCTTCCATTTGCCCATGAAGTATATTTGCAAGAATTTGTGCTGTGCATCTTCAATAGCGATATTCCGTTGCCTAATTGCATCTTGGGTCCGCCGGGAAAGATTAGATCTTCTAGGACGCGGCATTTTTATTAATAGTAATACTGAATATGCCCTCGCACAAAACCACATAAAACAATCGAGAAATATAAATACCAATAATTTACACAAATTTATGTTTGAGACAAACAAATACCTGAACTTTCGAGATATTTAGCTTTTGTACGCACGCGTATTATTTGTATCAAATGTGCTTTTTTTATGAATAGTCAGGTTCGCCTGAGGCTGTGCCGTAGACTGACTGACTACATTTGTTTATTTACTTCAATACTATTGTATAATATGAGAGCAGGACCGACAACTGCCATTGTTATCAAGCCTACTGAGTATCAATGGAAATTTGAATCTTTAGGGAAAAAATCGCGTTTTTCAAGTATTTTCAGTATTTTTAAGATCTACTACCCTACTCGTGGCGGAGACAAATCCAACAAATCAAAAACCATGAAAATTGGTACAGCACATATCAAGTGTTAAGAGTCGGTACACTTTTACACAACTCCCTTTTATATCTATATATATAAAAGAGAGTTGTGTAAAAGTGTATTAGCACTTAAAACTCGAGATCTGCTGGACCAATTTTCATGGTTTTTGATTTGTTGGATTTGTCTCCGCCACGAGGCGGATCAGTAGATCTTTAAAATACTGAAAAAATTTGACGAATACTTGAAAAACGCGGTTTTTTCCCTAAAGATTCAAATTTCCATTTATACTCAGTAGCCTTGACAACAGTGACAGTTTCGGTCCTGTATAGAAGTAAATAAACAAATGTAGTCAGTCAGTCTACGGCACAGCCTCGAGCAGACCTGACTATTCAACAAAAAAAAAAAAAGAAAAAGTCTATTCAACAAAAAAAAAAAAAAAAGACTATTCAAAAAAAAATAAATAAATAAATAAACAAAAAAAAAATTTTTTTTCCAAATCAAAAAGAAAAATATTTCAAATCAAAAATCTGCAAAAAATCAAAAGATTAAAACCTGACTGTTCAAAAAATAAATAAAAAATTCAAAATTCGAAATTAAAAACAAGTAAGAACGTTGCAGTCGAGCGTTACCGACTGCGGAATACTCATTCACATCCCATCAACAATTTAGTAGTTAAGTTTCGCTCTAATACTGTAGAATATACAGGTTTTTCCGATTTGCCACGCCCCAACTGGGCGTAGACACCTCATTTTTGGTCAGTTTTTAGAAAGAGATAACGGTACCCTAACTGCAAAGTTTGAATGCTTAACCTCAAAAAATGTGAAAATTACAGGGTATTTTTCGATATGCCACGCCCCTAAAGAGGCGTAAAAATTATTTTTGGGGAATCGATAGAGGAGGCTACCAGTAACTCAACTATCCAAATTTAAAGCTTCTAGCTATTATACTTTAGGAGATATAAACTTTTGTGGTTTGCCACGCCCCCTGTGGGCGGACATATATCCGACAAAACTTTTTGGTCTTGGGTGATCAGTCCGAGTATATATACAAAATTTGAGGTCTCTGCCATCAATAGTGTCCAAAATATGCCCCCAATGGGCATAGACTTATAATTTTATCTTTAGACTTTATAGAGTCATACCATTAGCTGACGTGCAAAATTTCAGCATTCTAGGTTTACAACTTTAGGAGATACAGTTTTATCGGATTTGCCACGCTCCCAATGGGCGTAGATATATGCGCCATAGCTCGTGATCTTGGGTGGTCAACGCGGACCTACATACCAAATTTCAGCTTTCTAGCTCTTCAACAAACATGATTTCTGGTATATCGGAAAATGCATTTTCCGATTTGCCACGCCCCTAGTGGGCGGATCGGGAAAATTTTAACACTTTATAAATCGGAGATATACACGAGTATGTGTTCCAAATTTCAAGTCTCTAGCTTCAACAGCGCCGAAATAGATTGCGTTCATACGGACAGACGGACAGACGGACAGACGGACGGACGGACAGACGGACAGACGGACAGCAAGACGGACATTGCACAAAACCAATATACTGATTCACTTTCGTGAATGAGTATAAAAATCAAAAGATTAAAACCTGACTAATCAAAAATAAATAAAAAATTCAAAATTCGAAATTAAAAAAAAAAAAAAGTTAATTATTAAAAAGTGTATTTTTGGCTTTTTATATTTTTGGACTTTTAAACTTTATAAATAATAATTGTGCGCGTGCGTACAAAAGCTAAATATCTCGAATGTTCAGGCATTTGTTTGTCTCAAACATAAATTTGTGTAAATTATTTATATTTATATTTCTCGATTGTTTTATATGGTTTTGTGCGAGGGCAGTATTACTATTAATAAAAATACCGCGTCCTAGAAGATCTAATCTTTCCCGGCGGACCCATGATGCAATTAGGCATCGGAATATCGCGAGTCAATTATCTGACGAAGATCGAGAAATCGCCCGAGAAAGGCTCCGCGTTAGTACCCAGCAAAGAAGGGCCTTAATTCGTGCTTCTCAAAGAGAGGCAGCCCGTGAAATGGCAATATGAAATGGTTCAAGGATTGATTTGAATCGAGAAGCGTTTCGATATGATTGCACCATTGACTATAGCTTGAATCGTTTAGCTTGCATTGGTCCAATGGACGTTGTTTGCCAGCATTGTGGCGCATTGAAGTCACCAGAGCCATTGCGTTCTCTACTTTTCTAGCGAGCACTCAAAAATACAATGCCTGTTTCCAATTCGGGGCAGAGACAAATCCAACAAATCAAAAACCATGAAAATTGGTGAAGCAGATCTCGAATTATAAGTTTTGTAGCAAACTCTACTTTGTTTTATATATATAGAGACTGTTAGGCGGTACGAAGTTTGCCGGGACAACTAGTATATATATAGAAGATAGAAGATATAAGATATATATATATCATGTAAATTCGTGTATACCATACGCAGTACAAGTTTATCATATTTTTTCGATATTGAACACTTTTAGACTTGGAGACTTCAGATTTACTGTATATATATACATCTGATGATGGTCCCCTGGTCAATAACTCTTCAAGTTCTCAACTCTTCAAATTCAAGTCCCTCGCTTTTATATGTATCTTCTGAGATCGACGAATATGGGCAGATGGACACGACCAAATCGACGCAGCTAATCGCCTGATCAAGAATATGGATACCTTATTGGTCTGCCTGCCTGTTTTATACATTTCTACATAACCATTATGCCCTGATTTCATATTTTCAATGGGTTCAGGGTATCAAAATCTTACCGGCTTAATAAGCCCACCAAGTAAATATACTCATTTACTTAAAAAAAAAAAAAACAATCTATAATATTTCATTTTGCTCTGTCGTACAAGAATTTTAGGGGTAAACATTTCTTTCTATTTTTAAATAGGCTCTTTTTATATACCATATATACATTGACATGCATGTCTATATATACTACATACACGTAAACAAGTTCGAATTTTTTAGTCTAAAGAGAAAATTTTAAGTTGATTTAACAAATATCTTGATCCGATACTCTCTGCCTCTGAATTGCGCGATCTCATATTCGTGCGCTTTACATATAAATATAGATGCATGACGGTCTCTCGTTCTCTCTCTCTCTCTCTCTGTCTCTGACTCTATCTCTCTTTCTCTCATTGCTTTCTTACTCTATGAGTATGACGTGTGCAAGATAATATTGATTTTTGGAATTGGTCATACTAAGGCGCTCTCTTATATCTCGAAATTGGGGTGTAGTTTAAATAATGCCAATCAGTTCCACATAAGTACTAAATTTGTTAGCTTATATTTATATAGTTGCCAGTAAGAAAGCTTTTCACAAAAGTCAGAAAATTAATTCTTAGTGTTATTTCATACTAAATATAAAAAGTTTACCTTATTTAATTTCCAGAATGGTCAAACAGCCCTTAATATCGCTCATAACTTGGGCTACGTAACAGCTGTTGAGACACTTAAGATTGTGACGGAAAAATCCGTAATTAATACCACAACCGGAGTTCTTGAGGAAAAATACAAAGTTGTCGTACCGGAATTTATGCACGAAACGCTACTTTCTGATTCCGACGACGAGGGCGGAAACGAAGCTTTGGATCACAATCAATACAAATACATGGCGACCGACGACTTAAAAGCCACCAATGATCATGATAACCATAACTTTAATACAACTGATCCGGAGATCGATCGATTGGATGGACTAGTCGGTCGAAATATTGAAAAAGGTTTTAAAAAATAAGTACAAATTCAAAGGCCCGCAAAACATGAAATTAAAAAAGTGTAAATACTAAGCTGTATATTGAAAAATGATCTTTCCGTTGAGATATATCAATATAGTAGATTTAATATAACTAACAAAAATGATACACAAACCAGAAAAACCGCTAAATTTGGCGTTACTTCAATATTCGAATTCTATTAAATACGGATCATATTTAATATTTGGTGTGATATCCATTATATATTTGAGTGTCCCTTATATGTTTTTGATTTCTAAATATAGTTTTTTTTTTTTTTTGTCCTTGACCTCGGAAGTCTACCTGGCTTCATCAATTTTCTATAGAGTTCAGGTCTGGGGTCTGGGGTTGTGTTTCAAAAAATGTTGGGTAACTGCAAAGTAACCAAGAACCGATTTTGTGGCCTTATGCTTGGGGTCATTCTCCTGGAACAACTTAAATGTCTGAAATATCCTTCCTTAGCATTTGTACTTTTTTAATTTCAATTAATATTTCATGTTTTATGGGTTTTTGAAGTTGAAAAATAAAAGAACCGAATATTAAAGTTGCTCAGTATATTATATATATATATTTAAAAAAAATGTTCTTTACAGAATTAACCAGAACAGATGAAACAATTTTAAATACATCTCCGGTGGAACGACAGATTGATAATGTGATTATAGTTCGGCCGCCCATTCATCTGGGGTACGTAAAGTAGATTATGTGTGTTTATATATACTCGTTTATGCTGCATTTTTAACTTTTTAAATTTATGAACTTTTTTGACCTATGATGATTTTCCAGGAATTTTAAATTGTTTAGTTCAAAAACTCGATATAATACTTTAGACGTTAAAAACGGTATTATAGCAAATCTAATTCACCAAGCTCAGAGTGGGGTAAAGGTTAAAGGTTTTAGACAGGTTTTACTTACAGTATAAATTTTTAGACAAAATTAACTCAGAGCAAACTATTTATCTTTAAATTTTTTACATCAACTTGTTGATTTATTTACATGTTAAACTCTGCGCATTAAGTTTGAGCTTTGTTTATTTATTGCAGATTTCTTGTGTCCTTCCTGGTGGACGCGCGTGGCGGTTCAATGCGCGGTTGCCGACACAGTGGTGTTCGGATAATTGTACCTCCCAAGGCGTGTTCGGAGCCAACCCGTATAACTTGCCGCTATGTCAAGCCGCAGCGAGTGGCTAATCCGCCGCCATTGATGGAGGGTGAAGCTTTGGTTAGTCGCATATTGGAAATGTCTCCAGTAGAAGGAAAGTTTCTAAGGTACGTAAATTAGGTTTTAGCTGGTATTTAAAATATAATGGATATTAAATGGATATTAAATTTTGAAGCCCGATTGTATTGGAGGTGCCACATTTTGGATCGCTGCGCGACAAAGAGCGTGAAATAATCATTTTAAGATCGGACAATGGCGAAAGCTGGCGCGAACATAGTGTCTATGAAGACGAAGGTAATTTACTCGAAACCTTAAAAGAAACGATGGCAGCTGATGTTAATCCATTGGAAGATTTACACACCAGTCGAATTATAAGAATCGTCACACAAAATGTGCCACATTTTTTTGCGGTGGTATCTCGCGTTCGCCAGGAGGTTCACGCAATAGGACCAGATGGTGGCACTGTATCATCTATAGCTGTGCCCCAGGTACAGTCCATATTTCCACCCCATGCATTAACAAAGAAGATTCGAGTTGGTCTTCAGGCACAGCCAGTGGACTTAATTGGTTGTTCCAAGCTACTAGGTCAGGGCGTTGCAGTATCTCCGGTCGTTACCGTCGAGCCACGACGGCGTAAATTTCACAAGGCCATCACATTAAGCATTCCGGCGCCAAAAACTTGCAATCAAGGCATGGTAAACTCACCATATAACGCCACGAATGGAAACGTAAGTGCCCCTACTCTGCGACTGTTGTGCTCTATAACAGGTGGACAAAATCGTGCTGTATGGGAGGACGTCACTGGTTCGACGCCTTTGGCATTTGTAAAGGATAGCGTTAGCTTTACAACAACGGTATCGGCACGTTTTTGGCTAATGGATTGTCGCAATGTTGCGGACGCCGGTCGCATGGCAACCGAACTTTATTCGTATATGGCAAAGGTGCCGTTTATTGTAAAATTTGTAGTATTTGCAAAACAAATATCCGCAACGGAAGCAAAATTATCTGTCTTTTGTATGACAGATGATAAAGAGGATAAGACGCTCGAACAGCAAGAGTATTTTGCCGAAGTAGCAAAGAGTCGGGATGTTGAGGTATTGCAAGATCAAAATATTTACCTAGAGTTTGCCGGAAATTTGGTGCCGGTTTTAAAATCGGGCGAACAACTGAACACAAAGTTTCAAGCATTTCGTGAAAATCGCCTCTCTTTCATAGTTTACATTAAAGATCAAGAACAACCACATGCACGTATTTCCTTTATGAGCGAGCCGAAAGTAACATCAGGAGAGGCGCCGTTGCGGCCAATTTGTACGCTGAATGTATCACTTGAATCGCAAAAATTAAATCGAGTTAAACTACATCCGAATGGCATCAATACTAATGGAAATAACAATACGGATCATGACCTTAACTACAAAGATTTAATCAATGCCGAAATAAAATGTAATACAGAATCAAGAGGAAATTCAAATATAAATCCGTTAGAAGATGGAATACAGCGTGCCAATATCCGTTTATCAGACATATCGAATCTGCTGGGTAGTGACTGGCCGCAGCTTGCTGAAGAATTGGGTGTACCCGAGACAGACATCAACATGGTTGAAACTGAGTACGCCGATCAACCTGTTGCACAACAGGGCTTGGTCATGCTACGTCTATGGCTAAAACAAGAGGGCAATCGCGCCACTGGTAATGCCTTGTCGCAGGCTTTAAACAAAATCAGACGTGAAGACGTTGTTGAAAAGTGCATCTTTAACTTAGAACTGGTCACAGATCAACTGGAGCGTGGCTTGGCCACGACGCGAATGCAGCATGACCACACTTTGATGCAATATCTAGCGGATGGCCTGAATGAAACATTGAACATTGAACAGCAAACTAACGAAGACGAATTGTGTCGAAGCAATGAAAAATCTAATAATGGTAAGAGACAAGAAATATTCAATTAATTAAAATTATATGTGTATTTATATGATATTTTAGATAAGTCTTGTGCTACGCCTCCTTCAACGCCAATAGAAGTCAACGTCGACTCGCAGGAATATCAGTATAATATTAGTACGCCGATTCCTGAAATTATGCAAAAAATTATTGAAGAACCAAGAGGTAAGGGATACAAATCTAAAAAATTTGTAATTTCTTATATATATTCAAATTTATTATATATTTTTATTATATATATTTATATTTATTTAAATTTAGTAAATGAAGTAGAAAACGATTTAATTAAACCTTTGAACGAGAAGGATATTGAAAAGATTCCCCAATCATCTGAAGAACAACTTTTACATACCCTGGCAGAGAAATACAAGGAGCCAACAACTTATTCCACGTTGGAGGGCGATTTAAATGTTTTCGAAACGGAAAATAATAGTAAAACAAAGATAACGAACATAGATCCAAAAATGAAAAGCAATTTTCTAAAGAAATTAACAGAAGATTGAAATGTTTGCAACTAGTTTTCAAGTTATGTGCTTATTTATTTATTTATATATGTGTATGTTTTTTTGCTTTTATTTGACAACAGTATCAAATTAAGATTAGTGCAGATTATAATGTATGCGGTACATAATATATCACTTTCCAATCTAAACCCTTTCTTTCAATTACAATTATTAAATTTTATTTGATTTAAAGGCAATCTCTTATTTTGTATCTACGTATGCTAAAATAACGACAATTGAAATTGGTTGTCTAGCAATATTTAATCAAAAGTGTTTTTACAAAACAAACATATTTAATATTTTTAGCTCAGCAATGAAATGAAACTTAAGTTTATTTGAGTATCAATGCGTAATGTGGTATTTCGAAAATAAAAATGTTGAACTTTAATTAATGTAAGCAATAGCTACATGTTAATGTTGTGTTTACATTCTTCTTCACTACAAGTACTTGTATGTAGAAGTACATTATTATTATTATATTGATGATTGACCTATTTATACTTTTCCCCACTGCTTTTTTGTTTCCAACACACTTCCATCCATCAACATTAAGTTGAATGATAAGTATGTTTTCAGCATTCTCTATGATTAAATTATTTTTTCTACTGACCCTTTCGCAATTTGCATTGTGCGCAGAAATGGTTCTATTTTCAAAAAAAAAACGTACTTATCTGCGCTGCTTAAAAATAATTTTATAGCCGTTTTGGAATCATGGACTTACACCATCATGTGCAAAGCTCTTGAGGCTCTTACGAAAAATATTCGCTAGGAATGCGAGAGCCTGTCGGCTGGAGATATGCAAAATATGATAGTAAAAATCTTCCAACAAAATAAACTGAAACAATTTAAGAATAAACCATATTTTTTTTGTTCACTAGTTAATTTTGTCTGTTCAAAAAACGTTAATAGAGGGAAGAACTAGTCAATCAAATCACTAACCATAGAATACATAGACATAGATAAACGAAAACAAGTGGTGTGCTTGAGTCGAGACTGCTCGACTAGGATATACCCTGAACCCAGCAACGAAATGATATTCAAATCATAGTACACTTCTTTTATACAGAAGAGGCGCGCTTTTGTTTAAGTACCTGATTTGATTCAAAGATCGTGGGTTTGCCTATCAGAATGAATGTTTTTTAAAAATGTGGTACCTGATTAATCCAAATTTTTGTAAAAATGATCAATTTGACCTATTTACGTATTCATCTTTTTAAAAAGGTGTCAAATTGACCTGCATATGTATGCACAAGTGCAAGGGTTCAAAAAACACATCCCATTTTGCCCACTGGGATTAATCAGGTAAACCCAAAATCGTTCACACCATTCTAAGTTGAGGGAGGCACACGCCAATGTTCATCTCCCATGCATACATACAAACACATGCACACACGCACTTGTACAGGCACACAGGCATACAAGTGCTTCTACAAGTTATATCCTAAAATTGTGAGCAGCGCCTCCCATGCGTACACACAATCAAATGTGAGCACTTCACAAGATCGACCAAATGCAAATGCTGGGATTTAAAATTGCTACAGGCAGAAAGAGCTTCGCACACAGGCATACAAATGTTCATAGTACATGCAGCATACTGTGTGTGTGCATGCTCGTCGCGAAAACATTTTAATTATGCGCACCAACGCTTTCATACCCTTCCCACAAATAATAACGAAAACGCATGGCAAACGCTTTGAAAAGTTCGGTATACTCTTCACACAGAAGGGAAGGCATGGGTTCTCGCTGCGAAGAAATTTCAATTTTTGTGGGCGCTGCTTGTGCTCACATGCATACATACATATACATATTTTAGAGAGCAGAGAGCATCGTGAGAGAGAGAGAGAGCAAGGGAAACATTCAACGCAGAGGGATCTTTTGTTCAACAGTCGACCATCTCGGTCGAGCGCATGAAGCGAAATGATTGTGCTTTCGTATTTTTTCGTAGCCCGAACCCAAAAAGTGAGGAGCCGAGCAAATACGAAGTGTCTGGGAGATAACTCCCGAAAAAAAGTGTGCAAAACGCTTTACACTACTTGTCCGGTCTATGTGTTCTCTGGTTAGTGGTGAAACATCGATGTTTCAAATAAAATGAGAAATACCGATGTTTTTTGTGCGATGTTCGATGTATTGCAAAAATGTTAAAATCCACTAAATTTACTGGTTTGATATAACTATTTCTATACATAAATAATATGTATGCGTGTCAGCAACCTCTACTGAGAGTGAGAGGATGTTCAACAAAGCTGGACTTCGTGTTAGCGAAAAACGAAGCACGCAAAAATCCAAAAATGTTGACATGCTAGTATTATCAAAAAAAAAAAAAAAAAAAAGATTGGGTCTCAAATGAAGCTATTAGAATATTAGATGGTAAAGTTTCCCATACTTAGATAAATTTTAAATAATGATATTAATTACAATTTAATTGCAGACCTTAAAATACGAGTATTTTAAAAAGGCTAACGGTTATTAACAGTTAAGGCTGATGAAGTGACACATATATTTTTTATTTAATATTTAATTTTGTTTTTCTTTCTTTTGGATTTCAATCGAAAAATTTTAAGAATATACCAATTAAATACATTTATAAAAATGTTTCATCGATACATCGATGTTTTTGATGGAAAAACATCGAAACATCGCTATCGTCAAACATCGATGTTCCTTCAGTACTAATGAGCTGCATATTTCGAATGAATCGATAGACTCACTGGAAAGTGAACTTAGTTTTTGATGTAGTTCATTCAGTATAAATATTCACTCAATCGAACTTATGAAGAACCACTAAATACAACAGCAATTGGTTGCCGTGATTTGCACGTGTTTACAGATATTGTTTTTCTAACTTTTATTAATTTGCGCAAAATGGCTTTTGGACGTCCTCGTGGAGGTAGTGGCAAGGGTAAGCCAATGTACTGATTTTTTATTCAATTACATATACATAGATATATACATATGTGAATCATTAAATTATTTCCTTCAATAAACATTTGTATGTAGGCTTTCGTGGATCTGGAGGTGGTGGAGGGCGAGGAGGTGGTGGTGGTGCCTTCAACAGATCTGCAGGTGGAGGATTCGGCAGGGGCGGATCTCGTGGTGGTCGTGGGACTTTTGATCAGGGCCCACCCGAACGCGTTATTGCATTGGGAAACCTCAGTTATATATGCCAGAATGATATAGTTTGTAAAGTAGATATAGACGATGTACCATATTTCAATGCACCAATATTTCTGGAAAATAAGGAGCAGATCGGAAAAATTGACGAAATTTTCGGAACAGTTCGTGACTACTCTGTTTCCATAAAGCTGTCTGATAATATATATGCAAATAGTTTTAAGCCGAATCAAACATTGTTCATTGACCCTGGGAAGCTGCTGCCGATTGCAAGATTTCTGCCAAAGCCACCACAGACAAAAGGTCAAAAAAAGAGAGGCGGTCCTAGTGGTGGTGTAAGAGGTGGACGTGGTGGAGCCATGGGTTCGTACACAAAGCACATTAAACATGCGTATTATAACAATCTAATATAATTTAATTTAGGAAATCGTGGAGGACGTGGCGGCGGTGGATTTAGAGGTAGCTCAATTCGTGGAGGCGGATTTAATAAAGGACGTGGTGGTGCAGGCGGAGGACGTGGGCGTTGGTAATAAAAAATCAAATGTTTAAGAAAATAATACAAAAGTCGAGATTTGGTTGATAAATCTTAAATTGTTTTAATATTTTATTAAGTACTGACCACGATACATGCAAAATATTGTGCATTTTTGTGGGCATGTACATATATGTTTAGGTATGTATATTTATGTACATATTGTAGTATTTAGTGCAATTATTTATTGTGTATTTGTTGCTTGACATAGATGTGTTATTTTGAGTGGGGAAGATTTAGAGGCCCTTTAAATTTTTATCATTTATATTTTCAACATGTTTAGTGTTGGTATTAAGATCCAACGCCTCCTTTATACTTCGAGAAATGCTTTTCTTTCGGGTCGAAGATGGGACAAGCGAGTCTTGTGTCTTGTGGCTTAATAGATTTGTTTCCGACAGTAGATTCGATTGAATTTTGTTATATATGCGATCGCTATAGTTGGAACTGTAGCGAAATGATCGAGGGTAAAGTCCTTCTTGCCAGAGATCAAAATCTTTTTGCCGACGCGCCTTAGTTTCTGCATAGATGTGCTGCCAAAGAATTAATTATTAGCTTATTCCCGTATAAAACAACATATATATATATATATATATATATATATATATATATATATATATATATATATATATATATATATATATCTTCTATATATATAAAAGAGAGTTGTGTAAAAGTGCTTCTCCACTTATAACTCGAGATCTGCTGGACCAATTTTCATGGTTTTTGATTTGTTGGATTTGTCTTTGATAAACGCGGTTTTTTCCCTAAAGATTCAAATTTCCATTGATACTCAGTAGGCTTGATAACAGTGACAGTTTTCGGTCCTGCTCTCATATTATACAATAGTATTTGTTTGTCTCAAACATAAATTTGTGTAAATTATTTATATTTATATTTCTCGATTGTTTTATATGGTTTTGTGCGAGGGCATATTCAGTATTACTATTAATAAAAATGCCGCGTCCTAGAAGATCTAATCTTTCCCGGCGGACCCATGATGCAATTAGGCATCGGAATATCGCGAGTCAATTATCTGACGAAGAGTGAGAAATCGCTCGAGAAGGGCGCCGCGTTAGTACCCAGCAAAGAAGGGCCTTAATTCGTGCTTCTCAAAGAGAGGCAGCCCGTGAAACGGCATTAAGAAATGGTTCAAGGATTGATTTGAATCGAGCAGCGCTTCGATATGATTGCACCATTGACTACAGCTTGCATCGTTTAGTTTGCATTGGTCCAATGGACGTTGTTTACCAGCATTGTGGCGCAATAAAATTTGCTGGTGAAACGCCCCTGCCTTTGTTGTAAAGTGACATTACCATTAGTGGTCCCGCCACCAGAGCCATTGCGTTCCCTACTTTTCTAGCGAGCACTCAAAAATACAATGCCTGTATCCAAATGACTTCATTTGGGGCGAAAATTATTGAAGAACACGGATATAATCCAACAATCGATGAAGTGGCAATCCTGATTGTTGGTGAAAACTTGGAAGCACGCGATATTGTGCTTACACGACGCAGTACTAGGCAACTACAAAGAATATATGAAACGCACCGTTCATATGACGCTTTACAATACCCGCTGATGTTTTGGCAAGGAGACGATGGATTTTATATCAAAATGATTAATCCATTGAATGGTAAAATCAATCATTGTTTTCATTTTAACTTTATATACATTTCATTCTGTTTGCTTTTGGTACACAAAAAGTTGTCACTCTTAATTTAGTAGAGAGTAGCTGTAAGAGTCGTACACCTATTAGGGGTTCTAAAATACAGTTTTTACTGTATTTGTTTCAGGTGGGGAAACTACCAAGAAGGTTAGTTCGATGAATTATTACGCATATTGTTTGATGATTCGTGAAAATTCTTACAATTATCTATATTAATATTTTTTTGTATTATTGTATTACGTTCATAGAAGCCTAAATTAGTTCAGCTAAAAGGTAACACGACATTACTTACTGGTTTTAATACAAAAATTTGACAGCTCCGAAATTAAAGAACTTTTAGGGAAAATAACGTATTTTTCAAGTATTCCCAAATTTTTCAGTATTTTTAAAATACATAATGCTATTCGGGGCGGAGACAAATCCAACAAATCAAAAACCATGAAAATTGGTGCAGCAGATCTCGAATTATAAGTTTTGTAACAAACTCGACTTTGTTGTATATATATAGAGACTGTTAGGCGGTACGAAGCTCGCCGGGACAACTAGATATATATATATATATATATATATATATATATATATATTTACCGATTTAGTATTAACTTCAGGATATGCTACGGTGTTCCGGATTATGTCTTCCGAGTGATGGTGATAATAATATTGAGGCTTTTGTGTCTCGGAATATCTGCGGGTTGTGCTGCTTACCTCGCCATGGTGCTGACCTATATTACTGTTTGTAGGAACAATGTATTTGTTGCCATTATTGCTCCCGAATATATCATCCACAAAGCTAAACGTGTTAAATTCGCTGGGGTAAATGTAAAAAGTTGTCGCCAGAGTCATATACATAAAGAAATGGAACAGCAGGCATGTCCAAATAAGATTTATCTGGCAATATAGAATGGACACGAGAGACGATTTTTAATTAAGTTTTGCACCCTAATCAAATTATAGTAATTATTTACCTTTTTCCTGCGTCTGTACTTGGTGAAAGACGCAAATGGTACCAGCGCTATTGTTAGAAATGTACCACATCCAAACCCAGCCAGAAGTCCAGCAAAATTTAGTTGATACGGCAGTGTACCAATTCCGAAAAGAACTGTTGTCAAAAGCAACATCTTAAATAATGACATGTATGGCTTTTTCACATGCTTCCAATGCATCCATAAGAGGAGTGCAACCAGCGACGACACTACACCACAAAGAGATGCTGAGGGTCCCACCTGTCAATATATTGAATACGAACCACATTGAAGATGGTTTAGTACATTTTACATACGAGTTTCGTACCGTTAATCCGCAGAATACGGAAATTCAGAATGTATTGTATATATTTAAAACAAGAACGTTGCAGTCGGACGTTATCACATCTAATTGATTTTGAACTGTCAACCCGAAGATGAAGTCCAATTCTGATTTTTGTTACGTTTTGAATACCCGCTAAAAGCTAGCAGCAGATCAGGTAAATTTTCCTATACGTATGCACACATTCATTGTTTATTCTATGGGTACAGACACTAACCAGAGAACACATAGACCGGACTCGTAGTGTAAAGCACGGCTCCTCACTTTTAGGTTCGGGCTACGAAAATGTCCGAAAGCACAATCATTTCATTTCATGCGCTCGACCGAGAGGGTCGACTATTATACAAAGGATCCCTCTGTGCTCAATGTTTCCCTTTCTCTCTCTCTATGCATATGTTTGTAGGCATGTGAGCACAAGCAGCAGCTCACAAAAATTGACATGTTTTCGCAGAAAGATCCATGTGTTTCCTTCTGAGTGAAGAGTATGCCGAACTCTTCAAACCGTTTGCCATGCTCGTGCAAAAAGTTTGCGTTTTTGTCATTATTTGTGGGAAGGGTATAAAAGCGTTGGTGTGCATAAAGAACATGTTTTCGCGACGAACATTCACACACACACTGTCCCTTGCTACATGTATTATGAGCATTTGTATGCCTGTGTGCGAAGCTCTTGATGCCTGCAGTGTTTTTAAAACCCAGCATTTGGTAGATGTTCTGAACTGCACACACATACATACGTTACATTGTGTGTACGCAGGGGACGCGATGCTCACAATATATGGGATATCACTTGTACATAGAAGCATTTGTATGCCTGTGTGCCTTAACATGTGCGTGTGTGTATGTGCATGTGTGTAGGCATGGCTCGTGAGTATTGGCGTGTGCCTACCTCAACTTAGAATTGTGTGAACGATTTTGGGTTAGAATTGCAGAATCGCGTTTATAGTTAAGTACCTGACTAACTAAAGTAACAAGTGCACTTCCCATTATTTTTAGTCATAGGTACTTTTTATACCCTGAACCCGTTTTCAATGGGAAATCAGGATATAATGGTTTTGTTGCAATGTATGTAACAGGCAGAAGGAGGCGTGGCAGACCCCACAAAGTATATATATTCTTGATCAGGGCGACGAGCTGAGTTGATTTAGCCTTGTCCGTCTGTCTGCTTGTATTGGAACATAACCCCCAAATTTATATGAAAGCTATGTTTTAGATAACGCGTAATTCTTTTGGAACGTAACTATCGCGTTATACGAAGGATACCTGTATGTATATGAAGATATGAGAGCCAGAGACCGGAAATTTGCATGCATACTCGTATATACCATACGCAGTACGAGTTTCAAACTTTTTAGATAACTCACGCGATATCTTTTTTATCGAGAATAATCCATAAATTGATTTAGTTTTTTAGCCTAATTTGAATACTATTAGACCTGGAGACTTCATATCTATATACATATATCCGCCAAAGCTATTTGGTTTTGCGTGGACATGTCTTTAGCATCAATAGCGCCTAAAATAAAGCAGAATTTGAAAAATCACTATATCTTCAGATCCGAATTACCACGTCTTTAATAGTAATTATATCTGCCATAGCTTTTTGATTACCACCCAAGTAAACGCGAATATACAGTCCAAATTTGTGCTTTCTAGCTGTTCAAAGTATATGATTTCTGGCATATCGGAAAATGCACTTTCGAATTTGTCACGTCCAGAGTGTGCGGATTGGGAAAATTTTAACGCTTTGTATATTGAGAGTATATACATAGTAGTATGTATAAATTTAACGTCTTAAAGCAATAGCGCCTAAAAAAGAAACACACACACATACAAGGCATGCATAAACACGGGAACATATAACCGCATGGGCTGCAGTGTGCGCTTACTACATATGAGAACTTAATTGCTTAATAACTTTTTTTTGGACATACGATCTTCATGAAACTTTCAGATTATGATTATAGCATGAATATGCATGCACTCTCCAAAGCTCAAGTCTCTAGTATTTGAAATACGTCTCTTACAAAGGTGAGGGTGAGGGGGTGGATTTTAACAAAAACCGAAATTGTATAAAATGCATATAAACATACATTCAAAATTTGGAGACTGTAGCTCCAAAGATGTAGGAGATATAATTTTTAGCTGATTTTCGATAAGGTTTTTTATCGATAAAAAAAGTTCGGTATGAGTTATCGATTTTTCCCATTTTTAGGGTATAAAAATTGCAAGTCTTTAGCTCTTATATTTTCTGAGATCAGATGTACGGACGGAGAGGGCTAAATCGACGCAGCTCGTCGCCCTGATCAAGAATATATTTACTTTATAAGGCCACGCCTCATTCTGCCAGTTACATACATGTTAACAAAACGATTATACCAGGATTTCTCACTTTCAGTGGGTTTATGGTATAATACGACATTTCCTCTCTCAAATGTATTTTATAGAATTAAGATTTTCTTATTGTTATACTCATTCACGAAAGTGAATTAGTATATTGCTTTTGTGCAATGTCCGTCTTGCTGTCCGTCCGTCTGTCCGTATGAACACATACTCATGTATATCTCCGATTTATAAAATGTTAAAATTTTCCCGATCCGCCCACTAGGGGCGTGGCAAATGGGAAAATGCATTTTCCGATATGCCAGAAATCATGTTAGTTGAAGGCGCTAAAAGCTGAAATTTGGTATGTACTCATTCTGCACAATGTGTCTACGCCCAGTGGGGGCGTGGCAAATCGGGAAAAATCCGTATTTTCTACAGTATTAGAGCTAAACTTAGCTGCTAAATTGCTGATGGGAGCAATCCGCAGTTGGTAACGCCCGACTGCAACGTTCTTACTTGTTTAGTATAAAAGTGGGCTGTCAAATCTCTGCTCCCATCTTTATATATATATTTAATTATGTTGATATAGAAATATGTGTATATTGGAAAATACCTCAGGTCTATGCGGTACTAGAACTGCACTGGTTAGATTTCCAGCCAAGCCAGACATTATGTAAACTACAGTTGTCCGCAAAGTGCCAATCAATCTTTCCAAGTCTGCGAGAAATAAATACTGAAATATAAGCGTAATTGCCAAGTGCAAAATGCCAGCATGCATGCACAGCGATGTCAGAAGTCTATATATCTGATCTGGTATTTCCACGGCAATAAAGGGAAACATGCCGCAAACGTTATTCAGGCAGGATATCTGAAAAAAAATTTCAAGAAATTTTAGTGATATGTTGGATATTTTATGAGATATATGATATATAAACAAGTAAGAAGGCTCCAGTGGAGACTGCTCGACTATGAGATGCCCTGAACCATCTAAGCTGATTTTCTACTCATTCTGCACTTCTTTTATACACACATGCATACACACGTGTGGATACATGTACGTATAATCACGCAACCTGCTGACAGCGCAGTTAGAGCGACAGCGCTTGGGCTGCGCTGCAATGTGTGTGGGGAATAGTATTCATTTGTTGAATAATTTATCTTGTAGTAGGACTATCTTTATGTGTGTACATTTCCAAGTACAACTCTCTAGTACTTGAAATACGTTTTTTACAAATTGGGGACAAAGCCTTCGTATCCATCAACTGTATATACACAGTAAATTTGAAGAAGAAAAAATTTGATAAACTTGTACTGTATACACGCGTCTACATGCTCTTCTGAGGGCTATATCGACTCAGTTCATCGTCCTGATCAAGAATATATATATTTTATGGGGTCTGTGATGCTTCCTTCTGCCTGTTACATACTTTTCACAAAACCATTATACCCTGATTTCGCATTTTCAATGGTTTCAGGGTATACAAATATGAATAAGAAAGTTGCAGTCGGGCGTTACGGATTGAAGAATACCATTTCACAGCCCACACGCTGTCAGCCCGAGTATATGTACATATGTACATATTTACATATAGTGCAATTTTCATATCTCTAGTGTGCAGCAAAAAGCAAGGCTGATCCCGTTAAAACGGAGAAGTCATCGATAGCTATTCCATTATTATAGTACATCTTTGGAGCTAGGATCTATAAATTACATGTATAATTTATACAATTTTGATTCGTGATATTTTTGAAACCGGCTCCAAGTTAGCAGCAGAACAGGTAAATTTTCCTATACGTGTGCACATATTCATCATTTATTGTATGCGTACAGACTAAAGCGCGTCTTCTGGCATATTCTTAGAATTACGATTGATTTGTGGATTTTCCAGCAGTTAATTTAGTTTTGTGATATGTTATGTTATTTTAGCTATTAGAAGCTGTGGCGGCAATGTTTAGGATGACGATTATATAACGAGGGTTCAAAACCTCTTCGATCCTATGATTTTTCATACATATTTCATTTTTTATAAATTAGATATTTCGTTGGGAATATTTTTCTTTTCCTACCCTGAACCAATGTGAAAAATATATAACAGGCAGAAGGGAGCATCGTAGACCCCATATATATATATTCTTGATCAGGGCGACGAGCTAAGCCGATATTTCGATAATTTATCCGATTTACTTTTATCGGTAAATTGATTTGGTTTTTTGAGCATTATTTGAATACTAATACACCTAGAGAGTTCAAATTAACTGAATTTATACATTTAATGAATACACAGATGTAGGATAACACGACCCCTTCGCCACAAATTTGTAAGAAACGTATTTCAAGTACTAGAGACTTGTGCTTTGGGATGTACACCCATTTCTATTGCGATTGATTTGTCTTTACATTCATTTTGAGTTTCCAGCCGCTAATGTGGTCCTGACAATAATGTGATTTCGTTTAATTACTTTTGTTAAAAGCGGAGCGGTGGCGCTGTAGGCAGAGGCACCGATTACATCTGTTTTAGTTTATTAATTTATTTATTTCTTAAAGATATTGACAAAATCGGGAGTCAACATAAAATTAAAAGGCCTAAACAAGGTCCAGTAAGTATAATAATTAAAATAATTTTTAAGATAAAAAAAAAAAATAATACAAAAAATAAATAAATAAAAAAAAAACAAGTAAGAAGACTAGTCGAGACTGCTCGACTAGGAGATACCCTGAACCCTCTAATCTGATATTCTAATCAGTCTGCTTTTCTTTTCGACACACATACATACACACGCACGTATTAGAACGCGCTCTGCTAACTGCGCAGTAAGCAGCGACTGCGGTTGGGCTGCGCTGTAGTGTGTACAACATTATAAGAATTTATTTATTAAATAATTTAATTTCTAGACGTACAATCTTAATGTACATTCCAAAGCACACGTCTCTAGTACTTGAAATACGTCTTTTACAAAGGTGATGGTGAGGGGGTGGATATATGGGGGGTGAATTACAACAAAAATCGAAATTATATACATTTAAAATTTGTAAGCTCTAGCTCTGAAGGTGTAGGAGATGTAATAAAAAAACTAGCTTTCGATAAGGTTTTTGATCGATAATAAAATATCGGGAGTAGTTATCGATATAAAAAGAAAAACTTAATATGCGCGTGCTATACACGGACCTAGAAAAAAAATTTCATTCATATCATTTCATTCTCTAGCTCTTATATCTTCTGAGATCGACGCGTTCATACATACGGACGGAAGGACGGACAGACAGGCGGACAGGGCCAAATCGACTCAGCTCGTCACCCTGATCAGGAATATATATACTTTGTGGGGTCTGCCACGCCTCCTTCTGCCTGTTACATACTTTTAACAAAACCATTATACCCTGATTTCCCATTTTCAATGGGTTCAGGGTATAAAAAGAAAAACAAAAAGATTTAGTAAAGAAAAGAAAACGGAAAGTATTAAAAGTTGTTGCAAGAATAGTTGATAATGCCAAAGAATAAGAAATAATAAAAAGAAAAGAGTAAAGGAAGAGCCAAAATAGAATATAGGATAGGATTGAGAAATCACTACACAACATTGTCAAATGTATACCAGTACTCTGTGAGTGATTTCCCTGATATAAGCTAAAAAAAAAAGATTTTATTTTAGGAAGTGAGAGCTCTAAGGAAAATACGTGATAATATTTATTAAAATTAAGACAAAGAACATGAAACGCACTGTGCAAAGAATAATCCCTAGTGCCTAGTTGTTCGGAATGGAACCGAAAAATTTAGACGACTCAACAAAGAGGACGAATCAATATCACCACTAATCAATTTATGCAGAAAAACAATTCCTAAAATTGTTCTGCGATTGGTTATGAAAGATCGATGAGCTGAAGCCTACTATGAAAGACGGTAATCGTAAATTACTGTCCCACCTAAGATCTCTTAAAGCAAAGAGAAGAAACTGTTTTTGAACCGCTTCGATACGATCCTAATACAGTTTAAGCTGCGGAGACCATACAACTGAGCAATGCACACTTTTGGCTTCAATGTTGATGGTATAAATATGAAGATTAAATTTAGTTTACAGTGAAAGATCTTGGTGTGTTCTTTGTGCGTCCTAAAGATGCATTGTAAGTAAATGTTGCTAATTATACCCTGAACCCATTAAAAATGGGAAATCAGGGTATAATAGTTTTGTTAAATGTATGTAACAGGCAGAAGGAGGCGTGGCAGACCCCATAAAGTATATATATTCTTGATCAGGTCGACAAGTTGAGTCGATTTAGCCCTGTCCGTCTGTCCGTATGTTTAAACGCGTCGATCTTAGAGGATATATGAGCTAAAGACTTCAAATTTTTTTCCAGTAATAAAATTATATCTCCTACATCTTTAAAGCTAGACTTTTCAAGTTTGATATGTTTACTTATATGCACTTTATACAAATTCGGTTTTTGTCAAAATTTATCCCCCACCTCTAATTCACCCCCTCACCATCACATTTGTAACAGGCGTGTTTCAAATACTAGAGACTTGAGCTTTAGCAAATACCTGTTTTATTCATAATCTGAAAGTTTCATGAAGAAAGTACATCCACAAGAAGTTATTGAACAATTCAGTTCCCTTAGTAAGGCACCACTGCAGCCAATGCGTGTTTATGCGTGCGTACGTTTGTCTGTGTGTGTGCATGTGCGAATAATTAATGATATAACAGTTGCTCGAAGGATTCAGAGATCTCGTATTCGAGCAGTCTTAACTACAGCTTTCTTACTTATTTTATACAGTCGAGTCTCGATAATTCGTAATGGCAAGGGAACCGAATTTTTTATGAATTATAGAGGTTTCCGATTTACCTAGGTTTCCATTTAAATCGAATTGAAGGGGTTTTTTTTTCAACTACATTTCAACAATTTTAACTTTTTAAAAATAAATAAAATACACATTCATTTCAATATTAAAACAAAATTAAAAACAAAATTAAACATAAACAAAATCATATTAAAGAAAAATTTATAAAGATTTAAAAAAGCTTGTAATTTTTGATTGTTTCATGTTCGTCATACCAAGGTGGCTTATTTGAAACTTGCGAAATACGGCAGAGAGGGACACAAACATTCAGAATAGAGTTTAAGGTAGTATAAACAAACGATGCTGCCAAATTAATATCAACCGACTATTATAAAATAGACCAGTTTGTTGAATTAATTAATTCGTTAAGGAAAACAAAATTGCATTTAAGATAACAGCGATTAAGCTCAGAAGGCAAAGGAGTATTAGTGAGAGGATTATCAACAGTTAATAAAACCTGTAAGGTGGGGTGATGTATATCCTCTGGTAAGCAGAAAGGAGTTGATCTCACGACATTAATGAGCGAATCATGATTAACAAGCATAAGATCTAGAGTGCGATTTAGATGGTTTGAAAAAGGGTTCATCTGAAACATAGACAGGTTAAACAATTCATCAAAAAGATAGTGATCGATTGTCAGAATAAAGTAATTTGCATTACAAATTGATGAGTAGGAAGTGTTAGGAATATTAAAATCACCCAACACAAGAAACAAGTCTCTATCATTTACATGCTCATAAATTTCTTTGATACAAGTTATATGTTAAACATAAACTTGTCCATCAGACGAGGGAGGGATGTAAGAGTATGCGATAAATAATGAGCAAGATGAGAGAGTTAATTTAACCCCTATAAAATCTGCATCCTTAAGGGACGAAAAGGTAAACACTTCGGAGAGGATACTGGACTTAACAGCAATTAACACCCCACCCCCTTTACGCATAGCACGGTCAAGTCTATAAACAGTAAAATAACTTGAAAGGATCTCACTATTATGAATATTATTACACAACCATGTTTCAGTGAAAGCGATAATATCATATTGTACATTAAAGCTATGAGAATAAGAATACATTTTTAAGTTTAGTATTCAAGACTCGTACATTTTGGTAAACCAGGGACATATGAGAAGAAGATTTAGATTTTTGGTATAATGCTCGATGATGATTGCGCCGAAGGTAGATACAAGAAAACAGGAGTCGAAGGCTCTAGTCGAGATAAAAAAAAAACAGTTATCAAAAAACACAGCGAACCACGGATTAAACCTTGCACAGGAATAGATAGATATTTGCAATAATCAACCGAACCGCAATTATGTGAATTTTAATAAGACTATTTAACTAAGAGAAAATAATACTTGCAGAGCACAAAAGTAAACACATCTGCTAACTCTCACTGAGAACTCTCTCTGAGTGTAGTGTAGTGCGAGTTAAAATCCTGCGGAAAACTTTATTTTACTCATTCACGAAAGTGAATTATTATACTCATTCACAAAAGTGAATTAGTATATTAGTTCTGTGCAATGTCCGCCTTACTGTTCGTCCGTCTGTCCGTATTTCGGCGCTATTGAAGCTACAGACTTAAAATTTGGAATCTCTAGTCTCAATTGCACCGAAATAAATTGCGTGCATACGCACAGACTGATGGATAGCAAGAATATAAAACCAATATACTAATTTAATTTTCTTAATGAGTTTAAAAAATAAATGTATATACCTGTATATATATATCTTTTAAAATATAAGGTATATCTCATATTTACTTGTGAACAGAGAGAAGCTTCTTCATGAAAGTATCCATTAACGAAATCACAATACTCGCGTGTGGTTATCCTACATTCTCCATAGACTCCGGTACAGCAGGGATGACCGATCACTTCACAGACCATATGCTCAGCCGTGTGATCTTTATAGCGATATCGTTGAGAAAATGAATTAGTTTTCCGGCAAATTGGCCATTTAGTTATGTCATCGGGCCACTCGTACGGAGCAATCGAAGCGGGTGCATCGCAAAATTTTGGATCTAGACCACATACTGAACCTGATATCCGTCCGCCGGGGCCCGATTCGCCGGGTGACCATTTTTTCCAAGTGGATATGGACTTCTAGTTAAGCGAATGCAAACATTTATTAATCAAAAATAAATTGTAAATTGTGTTTAATGCTTACTGTTGGATAAAGACCCCGTATTGAGCAATCCGCCTGTGAGCTTTGCACGCAGCCGGAATCATCATTCCGTATACAACAGGCCGTTTCACGCTCCTGTCTTCGGGTTTTTGTTACAACTTCCATTACTTTAACATCTCGCCGCATGCAGGCTGCAAATTTGGCACCCATGTGGACAAGATCATTGTTGCGAGGACCTATCCAAAGATTTCGCTGCTCGATGTGCTGCACCGTTTGCAGACTTAAACTAGTAACCAGCACCTGTCCGGTCTTTTGATCGTTGCCAAAGCCTATCGGTGCGATGCCATAACAAACAATTGATAGTAAAAGCACAGCAATTTGCACCGTATTTATCCAGTATGTAAAGAAGGGCCTATGATCGCAACGATCGTCCAAATCATTAATGGCCAAGTATTTGATGTGTTGCCTTTGTGGACGACGCGAGTTCTCTAAAACTCCATCGAGCAATTTAGGGGTAATTCGGTTCCCACGACTCATAGCTGATGTTGATGTCAAATTTGATGGTAAATTGGCGCGCAACAGAGATGGAACAGGATTGCTACTGTTGTTGCTGGCGCCGAGAGGCATGTGATCAGGCATCAAAGGAAGATCGGGTCCATTTCCATTGCCGTTAAGAGCCGATATGCGCCAACCATTATGATGTCGCTCAGCCATATAAACACCAACGTTGGTCTCAACACTATCACCAACTATGACTCCATTATGTTTGTTTGCTTGTTCAGAGTTCTCCTCGTTAACTAGAGACTTTGAAATATCGCAAGGATAATCAAAGAAGACCTCGTCATCGATCAACGCAGCTAGGCTATCGGCAATGCTAATGTTACAATCTCCAACAGCATCCATATCCAGTTCTCTGCCATGCACATGGATTGGTGCAAAACTGCGCGACCATTGACGATGACGTCGCTGGTTAATGTTGATAGCGTGCCCGAAATTCGCAGACCGTAACTGGAATACGTTGATCAAATAGCTAACACCTGTCATCAACATATGTGCCACCGAAGCTTTTCGTTCCACAAATTCATTGGAATTAAAATCGTTTCTGGCATAACATTTTCGCCATCTAGAAGTCCCAACAGATACATTCGCATGCTGCGAATCTTGAGCTGGCAATATATCGGGACGATCGGTTGCATAGTAGTTGTTAGTACTATTGCTATTCCCATTTGCCTCAATAATTGTTCCATCCCGTCCATTGTCCACATTAAATTCTAGCTCGTTCAATGGACCGAAGCGTCTGATTGCCAGACGTCGATGGCGTCCATACCAGATGGCAAAGTCTGTTGCTTCAGTACTCGCTTCCACTCCAAAGAAACGCGAAATTTCCCTTCTCAAATGAATTATTATACGTTTCTTGCATGAATGCCGATGAATCAGTTGCTGCAACTGCTGCTGCTGCTGCTGCTGTTGCTGCTGATGCTGTTGCTGCTGTTGCTGCTGAAGCTGACGCTGTTGCTGCTGTTGCTGTTGCTGCTGTTTGTGTTGCATGGAGACTGGTTGTCGCTGGAGATTCTGAAGCTGCTGCAAATTATGAGAGTTAGAAAGCTGAGCAGCCTGATAGATTTCCTGTGGGTGCTGTGTTTGACGGTGAAAGGTTTCGTTGATCTTCAATTGTTGTTGTTGTGACATCGAATATATTTCAGAAGAATTTGCATCCAACGCAATAATATTGCCTTGAGCTGCTAATAAAATTTCCTGGTCGTGCAGTTTTAGCTTACCCAGATCCGATGACATGGGCAGCCCTACTGGTACTGGGCTAATTGGCCCAGTTGTCTGAGTTGTCTGATGCACACCCGTTGTGCGCCGCGTTGTATTACAATGCAAACAGGTACCGCCAGTGTCTTCACCCTGAACTTGACTCGGAGCCTGAATTTGGGTTAAGTTTTGACGCTGTGATTCGCTCTGTGCCATTGTTGAATGTAAGGTTATAAGGGCTTCGCTCTCATCTGAGTTACTACAGATTATGGAACGTGAATCAATTGCTGACGATCGAAATTTGCTGCACGTTCCAACACCATTTGTATTAGATCCAACATTTGGTGAACATACACTCGCTGCAGCTAGTGGTGTTGGAAACGATGAGATTGACGATGAGGACGAGCATGGACAGCTCGTAGATGTTGTTGATGTCGATGTCATATTGTAGGTCTGCTCACTTTTCGAGTAATTGGATTGTAGCTGGCTAGTTTCACTTTGCTGGTGATCATTGTGACAACACTTGGTTCGATAACTATATGGTATATTCACATATTGTGATTGCAGCAAGGGTGACGTTACCGGCAAGTCTGAGTATACGTCACTAACTGGGGGTGGTGTTGGAACATAGCGTTTCACTGGTGTATGCACCGTTGGCCCCAAATAAGCACCATATGAATCGCATTTCATCACTTGCTTGGGTGTTATAAAATATCTTCCCATTGATGAAGCTGTACCCGAAGCAGAGTTTGAAGCCGAAGCCGAAGCTGAAGTCGGAATTTGAATTTGAGCTGAAGACGTTGCTGTTGCAACTGTTGCTAAGTTTATTGCTTCCATTAATTTCAATTTTTGTGACGAGTCTCGATAGCGATATTTCGTGTTGGGCGACATGGCACGTGTAGCACTTGAATGCTGCTGAATACTATATTTGTCAATCTGCTTATAGTGAGTACTTGCCGAATTGTCAGGCTGCATGCTTAGTACGGAATTGTTTGTACAGAGGGACGAAGACGAGTTCGATGATGACAACGGATGACATTGCGAGTGGGCGTGATGTTGAAAATTATTTAGATTTAGCTGTTGTAGTTGATTCGCTGCATTACTGTTGCAAATACCGATTTTACTATGAAAATTCGATTGATTTTGATTTTGACTAAGACTTGTCGGCAAGCAATCGCTATGCGGAGCCGGTGATGGTGGTGGCAGACTGCCATTAACTAGCGTATCATCAAATTTGGCCAATGGTATTGTTAGCTTACCAGACTGAGCCAAGTATATCTCATTCGGATGCGGACTGAATCGACCGGCTATTGCGATCATTGACTCATCTCCATTAGATTTTAGCGAAAGCTGGTAGTTCAATGACTTTTGACATCCTACTGTGGCAGAAGTGTTTTCGCCGGCCGCGGCTTCCGTTCCGGCTCCAGATCCGGTCGCCCCTAATACCGTGAAATCATTGCGTCGTGGATTGGGATACATATTTAGTTATCTGGCTGTGATTCACTCCTAAGTAGCTTATCTGAAAAATTATTGAGTATATTAAGTTTATGAGTCTTTACTTGTTACACATCTATCATACATGTATATATGTACATATGTATATAAATCAGTTATTTGGATGACATTTTAATAATATACATATAATATTATTCGCATAGTTGAATAACCAATTTTTAATATTGAACCTTATATTTTTACTTTGAACACTTTTAAACGTTTATTTCGACATATGTATGTATCTATTTCTATATATTACGAAAACATTCAGATTTACAGATACAGCAAATAAACTTGGCTTATCGATTTTCCACAAATTATCTAAGGCATACCTTTCGGCGGAACTTACAATTGTGGATTGCATTCACATTTTCAGTTGGTGTTATGTGTGTCATGTACTCTGGAATGAATTTTCGGTATTTAAAAAAATTCATTTACATTTTGTTATCGTTCTGTTTCAATTTGTTCTTTACCAAATAAAGAGCGAAATTTTTTAAATACATACTTATGTACTCTTATTTATATATGTGAAAATATATATACATGAATGAGTGCATGTACATACGCTTAGATATGTATATTTACTTTTATCAGTCCGTCATTCACAGTGTCTCACTTTTCGATTTCAATGCGCATGTCAAAATTTGTGACGTCATTAGATGCAAGTGAAATGAATAAAATAGTTCAATTTCATCACTTCTGAACCGAAATGAACGAGAACCATTTACGGTACGGTGAACACAATCATTAGCTACCATAGCCCTGCTTCGTAACTAGTGATGTCATTTCCGCTTCTTTGCCGTCTGATTTGACTTTTTTAAAAGTGCGATTGCGGGAAAAATTTGAAAACAGCGGGCAGCGGGAATTCCAGCTTTTTTAGCAAATTCAAACCGCTTTTTTTCAAAGTAAATTTTTTATAAATTTTTACAGCTGTTTTAACGATAATATATTTTACGTAAAGTATCGATATTTACTTTAATCGACTAACCTTCTCTTAAAAATTCATACCGATATTGGCGCGTTATCTTCTCTTCTTGTGAAATTCGTTTGCGTAGTAAATCATGCCGAAGGAAGTTTATAAGCAAAAAGTGCGAGATGTGTGGCTACGGGCTACAGAATTCAAGGATTGGCTAAGGAAGGACCCCACAGACGCAACACGGGCGTATTGCAGTTATTGCAATTGCACAATAACTGCCAAATTAATTGACTTGCAAGCGCATGCGTCTACAAAAAAGCACGCAGGCTCAATGGAGGGCTATGTGCAAAAAAACAAATTATCTTTTGTTCAATTGCCCACAAAGACAATTGAACAGGAGGCAGTTTTTGGTCTATTTGTCAAGGATATGATTTATGTTTAATAAAAATACCTATAGTTTGGTACATATATACATATGTAATTAAAATCAGCTTTTATGTCAACCTTTTTCCCTTGAATCCAGCTTTTTTCAGCTTTTTTTTTCCTTGATCCAGCTTTTTTTGCTCAGAAAAAAAATGACATCACTGTTCGTAACATAACCGAAAATATTATACAGACACGACCTCGCTCTGAGTGGCTCTCTTTGTTTTGTTTTGAAGCACATAAAGACTCTCAGCAAAAAACAGTTTGAATAAAAAACTCAACAGAAATGATCTTTGGCTTCGAGTGCATGTAAATACATAAATGCATACATACAGTGTGCCACTAAAGTCACCATACTCTTGTTGTACTTGCGCGAATCACCCTGAAACTTGGCCAAATTTTTGTTAAACATTTGTTAAACGGATGGCTTGCCAACACGTGAGCATGTCACGTACAATTGACCATGAGAAAACACGAATTTTCTAGATTGAGGCCACAAATAGTCAAAGATTGGCCCTGTGATTTGTTGATCGTCATGGCGAAGGCAAGACGAATCGGGAATTGAATTCGTTTAAACTCAAAGGGCATATCTGTTGGGAGCATCGGAATCTTAGGAATAAGAACTAACTCATCTTTAAATTATCCTTTGAGTATCGACGCGTGAATCACATTGCTCATCAGTTTTCTTATCACCAAACGCGTTCCATTGCACAGTTTTGGTTGGTTTAAATTTCTAAGCATGATAACACTACCGAGCCAACCTTCAGTTGTAAATTGTGCGGTGGTAAACCAGGCACATCCAAGGTGTTCAAAAATTCAGTTGGATAATTAGAACCCCTAATAGGTTTACGACTCTTACAGCTACTCTCTACTAAATTAAGAGTGATAACATTTTTTGTGTACCAAAAGCAAACAGAATGAAATGTATATAAAGTTAAAATGAAAAGAATGATTGATTTTACCATTCAATGGATTAAACATTTTGATATTAAAGTTATATCCATCGTCTCCTTGCCAAAACATCAGCGGGTATTGTAAAGCGTCATATGAACGGTGCGTTTAAGATATTCTTTGTAGCTGCCCAGTCGTGTAAGCTTTCACCAACAATCAGGATTGCCACTTCATCGATTGTTGGAGCATTAAATGTGCGTTCATGTGTTCAAGCTGGTCTTTTATCTGCTCTGATTACTATTTTATAGTCATCTCTTGGCATGCGCTCTAAAACAGACTTGAACAGCTTGACCAATCTTGGAGAATTGCTCTTTTCATAGCTGTGTTGATTTCTTGACGCCGGTCAAGTTGTTCTTCCATATTGCCCATGAAGTATATTTGCAAGAATTTGTGCTGTGCATCTTCAATAGGTTGCAATGATCCAATGTGATGGCAAATCTGGCCATAGTTATAGTTAGATTTACAAACACTTTTTATAGAAATCTAACAAACTACATTATTCCAAATTTTTTTCAAGCTGTAGTCAATGGTCAATAATGTTATATTGCTCTTCACAGTCAGATTCGTGATCTAAATTAGAATCCGAATCTGAATTTTCCGGATCGGAATTAATAGTTTTCTGGGTTGGCGGAGATACTGCCTTTAGAAGATATATGACATCTTGTGGAAGATTTTTCTTTTTAATTCGATTTTGTCTTTTATTCAGACATATGCTTGATATAAGCGGATCTCAATTTTTAAAGGCCGGCAGAACCTAACAGACTGTGGAGCTCTGTTTTTCCAGATGATACGTTGATTTTCATCTTTTAATTCCAATGGTATTATTGTGGTGACAAAAAGTGAAAGATCAAGGGAAGCAGGTTCATTCGAATGAAACTGTTGCTTATAAATGCTTTGACCCGTTGATCCATCGAAGCCGTAGCTTGTTATTAATGTGCAATGTGAAATATCATCAATTTCAACTAAAACATCTTTTTGCAATTCCATAATTCTTTCGGCTGTATGGTCTAGGATATTTTGCATTGAAACCTGTGCACAACTTTCCGAAGTGTGTATTTGGGGTGGTCTGCAAACCGTTTTCATTTCCAGGAGGGCTGAGTACGGTGGAAAAATATTGCATCCACGAGATTTGTTAAGTTGTTGGATGTTAATGTACTGCTGTTTTGTCAATCCATTTTCCAATAAAAAAGCCAGTGCTTCTTCCGAAGTAAGAGGTGTGACATCATTTGGAAACAAGGTTTTTTTTAGTTCAGAGCAGTCTTCTTGCCTGACGACTTTTAAAACTGTCGCTAATTCATCCTGTTTGGCTTTCTTTGCAGAAACTGAAGCCGCGTGAAGCAAATGAGGCGTGGAAAAATTATTATCCGATGCTAGGTCACATGCTAACTTTCTTTTTAGGCGCTCTCCAGCATCTGAATAGTTTAGCTTCGGTCTACCCATTGCAGATGAAGATGCCAGATCCGTCACATTTTCATCTAACGTCAAAGTAATTGACTGCGAAGGCCACCTTACGTGTCGAGCCTTAAATCTTTGCAACATTCGATTGCACTGCGGCAAATATTTTTTTACGTGATTCAGAAAAATCCTGATTTTTTCAGTAAATATATCCACCTGAGCAGCACTGAGATCAGATTTGTTTACTTTTCCCATTACCCATATGATAAGTGCACTATCATCGCGCTTGTTGTTGTCCCAAACTTCCAGCAACGTTAAGCGCCGAAACTCATATTTGGCTGCAACATGTCAATTTATTCAAAAAGGAACAAAAAGGGGCAGAGGAAACTTATTAATTCCAAATATATAAACATTAATCTTGAACATGTCGTTTTTAGTTGCGCACTCAAGCGCGCTCAGAACAAGTAATACACCACGAAACACGGCTCTATTTGTTAAATTTCACCTGTAAAAAGACACCAACAACAATTGCACATACACAGCTAAACATTCACAATCTTGACAAACTAACACTGAACATTAATTTTAAATACCTGTTCTTTTACTTTCCATGATTAAAATATTCTTTTTCTTTAAACAATCACGCTCAAAACAATGACAAAGATTAATAAATTTTAACGTTGCATACCGATAATTTAAGCTTGCATTGAAATAGCTGACTTTAGTTGCGCACCAAATTTAAATGACTAATTTGAAAAATTTGTTAAAAACGTGTTTTTCTTATCTAATGTGTCTATAATCAAAAAATAAGTTAAATTTTCAGTTATGAATACATGAAAAAAATGACTTTATGCCAAAATATCAGACTTTTTGACCATAATGCATTGCACAGTTTTGGTTGGTTTAAAGTTCTAAGCATCATAACTACCGAGCCAACCTTCAGTTGTAAATTGTGCGGTGGTAAACCAGGCACATCCAAGGAGGTCAAAAATTCAGTCGGCTTCTTCTTCGTTTGTTACACAGTCGATAGATTTGAATGAATACAGAGTACCAACGATTTTATTTTGAATTATAAAATTAAGGTCATCCACATCTTTATTTTTAGCCGCCAAAATTGCTCGCTCACTTAACCATTTAGTATTTTTGTGCCTATTTATGTCTATGTGTGTGTTTCTTGTGTAAGCAGAAAGACGCGAAGAATTTTTGTAAAATATCAATTCTTCGAAGAGTTCAGGGGATTTCAAGTAGTCAAGACTAGAGCTTTCCTTCCGGTTTATTTTCAAGATATACATAACAATGAAATTTTATACTCTAGTGTTGACAATCCTCGAGGTGTCCTTTATTTGTCGAAATAAATTGACCGCAGCAATGTAAAGTAGCTCATTGATGTACTTAAGATCTATAAATATTTAATAATAGTAGCAGAAAGTTGTGCGTATTAACAACATAATTACCGCAGTAAAGCTTTGGAGAGATAATGTTGAAAACTTAAAAGTCGTTATCCTTATAGGTCGCTGACTACAAAGAATCATATACTTCAAATTTTTGAGAAACTCTCGGTTGTACGAAATTTCTTCCCATCCGCAGTTATATAAGTGCCATGCTGTGATTAATGACTGCGAAGGAGTAAGAAAATAAATTATTGAATAGTTGAATATTAATTATATAAACAAAACTAAAACCCTAGTCGGTGGTGCTCGATTGAGACATTCCACAAATTTATAAAAATGTTCATCATGCAAATAGCCTGTTTCAATGCTCTTAAACCATTGAGAATGGGTTATGAATCAGGATATATTTTTGTTGTTAAATGTATAAAGGTAAAAGGAGCCATGGACGACATGGACTCAGAAGCTATAGAATCTAGAGAATTGGATATTTATTTCGTAAGCTCGTAAATCCGCATATAGAGCTTGTGTCCCAAAATCTTGATCGAATAACATTAGTAAAATGATATATCGTACATCTTTAGAGATAGATTTCCAAATTTTAAACATATTTAGCTTCCGCCTCCAAATGCACTCCATCCTTGTAGAAGCATTTGTATGCCTCTGTGCCTTTACATGTGCGTGTGTGTATGCCTTTGTTTGTATGCATGGGAGATGAACATTGGCGTGTGCCGCCCTCAACTTAGAATGGTGTGAACGATTTTGGGTTCGAATTGCAGAATATTGGCTTCTTTTGTTCAATATTTGACCATCTCGGTCGAGCGCCCGACCCTAAAAGTGAAGAGCCGAGCAAATACGAAGTGGTCTGGGAGATAACTCCACGAAAAAAGGGTGCAAAACAAAACCATTGTACCCTGATTTCCCATTTTAAATGGGTTCAGGGTATAAAAACGCGATGCTGAGATTGACGCGTTCAGACTAACGTTGAGACAGCGCAAAACTATTAGGATATATCAGAACATACAAGGAATTATGGAAAAAACAATCTTGTTCAGGCTTACGTGTTGGATCAATGTGTCTCCGTTAGCGCAAAGAATATATAACTGCGAAATTGACGATGATATATATACAATAAATTTAAAGTAGTCTCCAATAAATAAATATTCGCTTTGCTATATTGATAACGAGGAAGAGAAGTTAATAGAAAACGGAAAATAAAAACAAACTAAATACATATGTAAATTAATAATAAACACTTTGAAATTAAAACTTACTGTAACTAGTTGAAATCCTACCATACAAATAAGGACGGCGGATATCATCAGATTCACTAAAAGTATGGGATTAAAAAAGTCTTCCAAGCGTTTAGCAAATCTAAAACAAAAAAAGAAAACATTGAGGCTTTTTATAAAATTTGTTTATCAATAGTTGTTTTATTATGCACTGAACCCATTGAAAATGGGAAATCAGGGTATAATTTTGTTGAAATGCATGTAACAGGCGGAAGGAGGCGTGGCAGACCCCACAAAGTACATACATATATTCTTGATCAGAGTGACGAGCTGAGTCGATATAGCCCTGTCCGTCTGTCCGTGCATCCGTCCGTATGAGCAAAAGGATCTCAGAAGATATAAGAGCTAGAGAGCTGAAATTTGGCATGCACACTCGTGTATACCATAGGCGATACAAGTTCATCATATTTTTCGATAACTCATCCGATAACTTTTTTATCGAGAATAATCGAAAAATCGACTTGGTTTTTTCTTCTTACTCGTTAAAATTGGATACTCCTTTGTTGTCGGTAACTCCTTCTTTAATAGTACCCTCACCTAATTCGCTTGCTCCTCCTTCACCTGGTGCCAAATCTGTTTCTCCTATGCTTCTATTGAAACTCAAGCCCCTGTCACAAATTTGGATACTACTTCTATTCTTGCTCAAACAAAGAGTGACAATAAGTCAGCCACTCCGGGCATCACCTTATCTGTCGTCTCTCCTCGAAAGCAAGTATTTTTATCTAGGCTTTCATCTGATACGACGCGTGAGGCAGTATCTGCTTTTATTTCTGCCAATGTTTTTATATCGAAGTTTAGTTTCGCAACCCTGCGAGAAATTGCTTCATTCAAGATTAGTGTGCCGGTAGAATATTTTAAGACTTTATGTAATCCTAATTTCTGGCCACCTCATGTGGTTGCTCATGAGTTCAAACCTAAAAATCGAACAGATCGACTCCTATTTCAGTAAATTTACCTTCGGTGCAATCTTCATTCAAACATTGTGCCAAAAAACTAAATAATTTGCAATCTTCTCAGCTGTCCCTGATTTATAAAAATGTACGCGGCTTAAATTCTAAACTTGAAAATCTATTCTTGCACAGTTTTAGTGTACAACATGATCTTATTGCATTCACTGAAACCTGGCTAAGTAATCTTCTATATATAAGTTAAGACTTTCGACAATCTAAGGAGGCTGGAGAGTCCAGTCAGACATTCAAGGGGAGAACCTAACCAGTTGAACAGATTTAGTTCAGTTTATATTCGGACTAGAGAGAGTTTAGACCTATTGTTCCAAATTATATAAAATATATTATTTCATTGAACACAAAGTTGTTATATATTCACAAGAACCCAACACAGCGTCCACCAATCACTAGTACTCTAGTATGGGAGCGCTTAACTGGCGCCCGAGCAGGGACGCACATTCTTCACGGAAGTAAAGGGAAATGGTGACGTGTCAATAATTCTATAAAAATAACTTATTAAAAAAGCAAGTACAAATAAATTGTTCCAATCCAATTGGGCAATTGTTGGCAAAATTACGAAGTACTTCTGCGATTTGCAAAGTATTGGGGTGAAAGTCCTTGCCATAACATAATAATACAATAAATTATAACATATTTTCTAGCAAGTGTTGGTGCACTAGATAATTCTATAACATAAAAGAAATCGTGGCTAAATGGTGGTATTGGCAATACCTAGGTTCAAATCCGTGCCGAGACGAGTCTTAAAACGAAAATACAAGAAATTTGCAGGCATAATGGTGGTACGAGATTGATTCTCGTATCGAGGTTCAAATCCTTGCCGTTAGACAAATGTCATAAAAAATAAACGTCACAATTTCCACCTGTGTTGAATGATGGGCTTCCGTATAAATTAAAAGAAACCTAGTGGTCAAAGTTAAGTTTAAAGCACTAACTATATAACAAAATTAAAAGGCGGTTGTCTGGAAATCTCTAATCAAAGAGGAATACTTTGGGCTTCCCTTTCGGAAAAGAATAAGTCTGGCAACAATATATAAAAGAAAAAAGTAAAATAAATAAATAAATGAAACGAAAGTAAGAGAGAGACCAGATGATTGTGGAACCACCCTCACCTAAGTACACCAAAAAGGATCACCAAAAAGGATCCTGAGGGCTTCCCAAGCCATATAAAATAATAAAAACTGTTTGCCGGTTCGGTAACAAAAGATAATACAACTAGTAATTGTTAATTCAAGTAATTCTATAACAGACAACGCAATAACACACGTGGTAATACACACACGTAATTCAATACAATTAGTAATTCAATGAAATAATATAAAAGAAATAATATTGACGTCAACTATTTAAAAAAAGGTGTTACGACCATGTGAGATAATATATTTATCTCCACAGGAAGCAATTCTACGAGACGATTATTAATATTTTCTTATCTCCACTGGAAACGGTAAATAGCAGCAGCTTGGAAACAATGAAAAGCTGATTTAATGTAGAAAAATAGATCGATAACATAGTAGGCATCGAATTGAATAGTAAGTAAGTTTTCCGACATTGAAATAATTTAGTTCACTTTTGCACCGAGCTCAAGCCGTAACTAAAACGAATAATTTTGAAAAATGTACAAATTAAAAAAAGAATACCAAAAAAAATTAAAAAAAAAATCCTACAAAAAGTTTAAAAATTAAAAAATATATAGTAATCAAATAAAAATAATCCTACAGAGAGTTTAATAATAAAAAATAATAATAATAATAATAATAATAAAAATAAGAATAAAAATAACTTATATAAATAGAATAATAATAGTAAAAGGAAGATTTGAAGCAATTGAATAAGAAAGTGGATCGTTTGGAAAAGGAGGATACTAATCAGTCTCTCATAGAGGAACAAACCTTACTGGCCCGTCCACGTTCGGAGCTTGAATTAAATGATATTTCGTCATTGCCGGACTGTGTTAAAGTGTTGCCCACATTTGAGGGAAACCCTTCACAATATGCCTCGTGGGTAAACAGGATCGAGTCCGTACTTGAAGATTATTCTATTATCAAGGAAAGACCTCTATATCGCTCAATAATTTTACATATACGAGGAAAAGTAATTGGAAATGGCGATGTTTCACTGTCATCGTACGGTGTACAAAATGATAATTGGCCTGATGAAGCGAGTTTTGCGATTGCATTATGCTGATAAAAGGGATGTCGAACCTTGGAATACGAATTGAATCAAATGATTCAAGGCAACAACGACTTGGAAACCTACTATAAGCAAGTTAATAGTCAGTTTTCTTTAATTTTACAGGCCTTAAAGGCAAGCGAACAACGAGTCGTAGTATTGTCCGCATTAATAGAATCATATAGAGATAGAGCTTTAGATGTTTTCATAAGGGGACTAAACGGTGACCTACCGAGGATGTTAACAGTTAGCAAACCCGAAGCTTAAGCCATTTGTATGAATTTACAGTCTATTCATTAAGAAGTAATGGTGTACAAGGGACATATGTCTCGTGGAATTAATGATTATCAACAAAACAAAAACTGGAAAAATTCTTCATAAATCAGACCTAAGAAAATGGGAAACAAAAAGGAAAATGCACATTTAATTATATTGTAATAATCCTCTTTTAACTTCCTTGACTTCCTAGCACCCAAAGCACATTTAATTATATTGCAATAATCCTCTTTTAGCTTCCTTAACTGCCTTAGCACCCATAGCATCCACAGCATTTTACACGTGGTATATCCTTCCTAGTTTCGATCATTCATGGTAATAGGGATTTCCGAGATGCCAGAGGGAATGAAATAAATGCACTTACAATGTTGGATGTATTGTTATAACCACAAATGAATACTAAATGTATGGAACTATGAATGGAACTTTGAATTAACTTGAAGGTGGATATCGATGGCCCTCTTTATGCTAATTTATGGACTCTGGAACTATCGACTATGGATAATAAATTTATATTGGATAAATGTCATTATATTGGGCAATTTATATTGGATAATTATCATTATTGGACAATTTATATTGGATGAATATCGTTATAATGGACATATGCACCCTGATCTGCGGGACGCAGATATTTAGATGGGGAAGAGTTAAGACTTTCGACAATCTAAGGAGGCTGGAGAGTCCAGTCAGACATTCAAGGGGAGAACCTAACCAGTTGAACAGATTTAGTTCAGTTTATATTCGGACTAGAGAGAGTTTAGACCTATTGTTCCAAATTATATAAAATATATTATTTCATTGAACACAAAGTTGTTATATATTCACAAGAACCCAACACAGCGTCCCCCAATCACTAGTACTCTAGTATGGGAGCGCTTAACTTATATAAAAGAGAGTTGTGTAAAAGTGCTCCTCCACTTATAACTCAAGATCTGCTGTAAAAATTTGACGAATACTTGAAAAACGCGGTTTTTTCCCTAAAGATTCAAATTTCCATTGATACTCAGTAGGCTTGATAACAGTGACAGTTTTCGGTCCTGCTCTCATATTATACAATAGTATTGAAGTAAATAAACAAATGTAGTCAGTCAGTCTACGGCACAGCCTCAGGCGAACCTGACTATTCATAAAAAAAGCACATTTGATACAAATAATACGCGTGCGTACAGAAGCTAAATATCTCGAAAGTTCAGGTATTTGTTTGTCTCAAACATAAATTTGTGTAAATTATATACATATATTTATATTTCTCGATTGTTTTATGTGGTTTTGTGCGAGGGCATATTCAGTATTACTATTAATAACAAGTAAGAAAGCTCTAGTCGTGACTGCTCGACTACGAGATCCGCTGAACCCTTCGAGCAAATTAAAATTGACTCTCGTTTTTGTCAATAGCTTTAAGAAATAAATAAATAAATAAATAAATAAATACGGACATTCGAAAAAAAATTGAAGTCTATCTCTTATATCTTCTTCAGCTCGTCGGCCTGATCAAGAATATATATACTTTATGAAGTCTGCCACGCCTCCTTCTGCCTGTTACATACATTTCAACAAAACCATTATACCCTGATTTCCCATTGAAAATGGGTTCAGGGTAAAAAAACGCCGCGTCCTAGAAGATCTAATCTTTCCCGGCGGACCCATGATGCAATTAGGCATCGGAATATCGCGAGTCAATTATCTGAGAACGAGAAATCCCCGAGAAAGGCGCCGCGTTAGTACCCAGCTAAGAAGGGCCTTAATTCGTGCTTCTCAAAGAGAGGCAGCCCTTGAAATGGCAATAAGAAATGGTTCAAGGATTGATTTGAATCGAGAAGCGTTTCGATATGATTGCACCATTGACTACATCTTGAATCGTTTAGTTTGCATTGGTCCAATGGACGTTGTTTGCCAGCATTGTGGCGCATTGAAGTTTGCTGGTGAAACGCCCGGTTTGTGGTGCCTTAGTGGTAAACTCATATTGCCATTAGTGGTCCCGCTACCAGAGCCATTGCGTTCCCTGCTTTATGGCGAAACACTAGAATCACGACATTTTCTAGCGAACACTCAAAAATACAATGCCTGTTTCCAAATGACTTCATTTGGGGCGGAAATTATTGGAGACGGATATAATCCGACATTTAAGGTAATTTACGTTAAAAATTTTATTTTCTATGATTGTAAAAAAAAAAAAAATTGGAATAATGTAGTTTTGTTAGATTTCTGTAAAAAGTGTTTGTAAATCTAACTATAACTATGGCTTTGAATTTAAAGATTCAAGGCCAGATTTGCCATCGCATTGGATCATTGCAACCTATTGAAGATGCACAGCACAAATTCTTGCAAATATACTTCATGGGCAATATGGAAGAACAACTTGACCGGCGTCAAGAAATCAACACAGCTATGAAAAGAGCAATTCTCCAAGATTTGCAGCAAATGCTTCACGACCATCAAGAGATGACTATAAAGTAGTAATCAGAGCAGATAAAAGACCAGCTGGAACACATGAACGCATATTTAATGCTCCAACAATCGATGAAGTGGCAATCCTGATTGTTGGTGAAAGCTTGGAAGCACGCGATATTGTGCTTACATGACGCAGTACTGGGCAACTGCAAAGAATATCTGAAACGCACCGTTCATATGACGCTTTACAATACCCGCTGATGTTTTGACAAGGAGACGATGGATATCACTTTAATATCAAAATGTTTAATCCATTGAATGGTAAAATCAATCATTCCTTTCATTTTAACTTTATATACATTTCATTCTGTTTGCTTTTGGTACACAAAAAAGTTGTCACTCTTAATTTAGTAGAGAGTAGCTGTAAGAGTCGGAAACCTATTAGGGGTTCTAAAATACAGTTTTTACTGTATTTGTTTTAGGTGAGGAAACTGCCAAGAAGTTTAGTTTGATGAATAATTACGCATATCGTTTGATGATTCGTGAAAATTCTGACAATTAATTGTTGCGATTTCGTCGACTGTTTCAACAATACTGCGTTGACATGTACGTGAAAATCGAAACGGAGCGCCTGACTTTCATCCGTTTGAATCAAGCTAAATTGCGTTCGGAAGAGTATATTCATTTACGCGATGCAATAATCACAGAAGGAGATTCTGAAAATGTTGGTCGATTGACTATTTTACCAGCGACATACACAGGTAGCCCGCGTCATATGCATGAATATGCGCAAGATGCAATGACATATGTCAATCTTTGACTATTTGTGGCCTCAATCTAGAAAATGCGTGTTTTTCTCATGGTCAATTGTACGTGGCATGCTCACGTGTTGGCAAGCCATCCGCATTATTTGTTCTTGCACCTGACCAAAAAACGAAGAATATCGTTTATCACAAGGTGCTTGAATGAAAATCCGCTCATTAATGTCGTGAGATCAACTCCTTTCTGCTTACCAGAGGAATACATCACACCACTTTAAAGGTTTTATTAACTGTTGATAATCCTCCCACTAATACTCCAATGCCTTCTAAACTTAGTCGCTGTTATCGTAAATGCAATATTGTTTTGCTTAACGAATTAATTAATTCAACAGACTGGTCTATTTTATTGTATATGAGTCGGTTGAAATTAATTTGGCAGCATGGTTTTTTATTCTACCTTAAACTCTATTCTGGATGTCTGTGTACCTCTCTGTCGTATTTCGCCAGTTTCAAATAAGCCACCTTGTTTAACCAAGACTCTTTCGAACTTGATAAACATTAAAACTAAATGTTTTAAAAATTATAAAAAGTCTGGTTCAAGTGTTGACTGGCCCAAATATTCTATTGCCAAGTCAAACTTCAATCTTTTAAATTCTAGCTGTTATGATAATTACCTTATACGTTGCAAATGTCAGTTTGCTCGAGATCCCAAACAATTTTACTCATTTGTAAACTTGAAGCGTAAATCTTCTGGTTTGGCGTACTCATTTGTCTTTGGTGGTGAAAAAAACTTGCAATGACCAGGATTCCTCTGATCTATTTGCTGATTTTTTTCAATCCACTTATTCTTCTGCTGATCTCTACAGCAACTCATATCCATATTCACTTCTTAAATATGGGTCTACAAATACTCCTAAAGTTACTGCAGCCTCTCTGGCTGCAGCCATTAGGATATTGAAATCATCTTTCTCTCCCGGTGCCGATAATATTCTTAGTTGTGTGATTAAACAGTACAGTGTTTCTCTTCAATTACTAAAATTGTTTAACTTGTCCTTGGATACTTCTGTGTTCCCTTCAATTTGGAAAGAATCTTTCATCATTCCCTTATATAAAAAGGTGGAACATCTGATATTGCCAATTATAGAGGCATTGCGAAATTATCTGCTATTCCGAAGTTATTTGTGAAAATTATAACATCGGCCTTGCAGCATTTTTGCAAATCGATTATTCAACCATCTCAACATGGTTTTGTTCAAAATCGATCAACGTCCTCTAATTTACTTAAGTTTACTTCGCTTGTTAATGACAGTTTTTCTAAAAAAATGCAAACTGATGTTATTTATACTGACTTCAGTAAAGCATTTGACTCATTACATCATCACATACTAATTCTTAAGCTTGAACGCTTAGGATTTTCACCTAGACTTGTGTGAATCACAATCCTATTTAATGGGTAGATCCCAAAGACTCTTGCTGAGAAAAGCTATGTCTAAACTTATCTTTGTTTCGTCTGGTGTACCTCAGGGTAGCCATTTGGGTCCATTTCTCTTTTCCCTTTTTATAAATGACCTTCTTAGTTGTATATGTGCAAATGCACATCATCACCTTCAAGATGACCTAAATGCATTTCAACTTTGGTGTGTGCCAAACCAGCCGGACTTAAACTGCTCAAAGTGTATGACAATGACCTTCAGTCGTACTGTTCCTCTAATTGTTGATTATAATATATATATTATTCCTTACGACGCATCTTTACAGTCAAAGATCTTGGTGTGTTCTTTGACTGTAAACTTAACTTTAATTTTCATATTTCTAACATCATTAATGAAGCCAAAAGTGTGCTTGGCTTTATTAAACGTTGGTCTAAGGAATTTAAAGATCCTTTTACTACCAAGCGCTTATTGACCTCGCTTGTGCGTCCTATCTTAGAGTATTGCTCTGTTGTATGGTCTCCGCAGCATAAACTGTATCAGGACACAGTTTCTTCTCTTTGCCCTAAGAGGCCTTAGATGGGACAGTAATTTACGATTACTGTCTTATCATAGTAGGCTCCAGCTTATTGATCTTCCATCGCTAACCAATCACAGAACAATTTTAGGAATTGTTTTTCTGCATAAATTGATTAGTGGTGATATTGATTCGTCCTCTTTGTTGGGTCGTCTAAATTTTTCGGTTTCGTCCCGAGCAACTAGACACTATCGTCCGCTTCATTTACCTGTGTGCACTTGGGATTATTCTTATCACAGTGCGTTTCATCTTCTTTGTGTTAATTTTAATAAATATTATCACGTTTTTTCCTTAGAGCTCTCTCTCTTCCTAAAATAAAAAGTTTACTATTAGCTTACCTTAGGGAAATCACTCACAATGCCCAGGCAGGCATAAGCATTGATATACATTTTCGTTGCCAATGTTGTGTAGTGATTTCTCAATTTCTATCCTATATTGTTTTTTGGCTCTTCCTTTACTCTTTTCTTTTTATTATTTCTTATTCTTTGTATTAACTTGTCTTGAAACTTCTTTTAATACCTTCCTTTTTCTTTTTCTATACTAAATCTTTTTTATTTTCTTTTTTCTTTTTTTATTATTGTTTTTTTGTTTATTTTTTTATTTTAAGAATTACTTTAATTATTATGTTAGATATAGTTAATAAATCTACATTTAATATTTTTTAAAGTTTTCTTACTAACACTTTATTTTTATAGCTTCATTAGTATCACTGACCATATTTGGTTGTGAGACGTGGGCATAGCTGGCCAGACTGGCAAATAAAATACCCGCATCGGGTCGGTATTACTATTGAAATTATATCCTGTACTTAGGCTTTTTAATTTAAATGGACTCTCGTTAAATTATTGTTCTGTGAGAACATTATTAACATTTTTATCTCCACAGGATATAAAATAGAGGTAAGGAAATAATATTCACGTCAACTATTTAATTTAAAGGTGTTTACAACCCTGTGGGAACATTACTATATTTTTAATTTTCAAGTTTGAAAGAAGATTTGAAGCAATTAAATAGGAAAGTGAACCGATTGGAAGAGGGGAACACTAATCAAGCATTTAATGACCTTAAGGATCTTCTGTCATCATCTGAAGTGCTGGCCTTTCAGCGCTCATGTAATTATATTGTAATAATCCTCTTTTAACTTACTTAACTTCCTTAGCACCCATAGCATACACAGCATTTCACACGTGGTATATCCTTCCTAGTTTCGAACATTCATGGTAATAGGGATTTCCGAGATGCCAGAGGGAATGAAATAAATGCGCTTACAATGTTGGATGTATTGTCATAACCACAAATGAATACTAAATGTATGGAACTATGAATGCTTTGTATTAACTTGAACGTGGATATCGATGGCCCTCTTTATGCTAATTTATGGACTCCGGAACTATCGACTATCGATAATAAATTTATATTGGATACATATCATTATATTGGACAATTTATATTGGATGAATATCATAATAATGGACATATGCACCCTGATCTGCGGGACGCAGATAATTAGATGGGGAAGAGTTAAGACTATCGACAATCTAAGGCGGCTGGAGAGTCCAGTCAGACATTCAAAGGTAGAACCCAACCAGTAGAACTGATTTGGGGCTGTTCATATTCGGACTAGAGAGAGTTTAGATCTATTGTTACTAAATTATATAAAATATATTATTTCTTTGAACACAAAGTTGTTATATATTCACAAGAACCCAACACAGCGTCCCCAATCACTAGTGCTCTAGTGTGGGAGCGCTTAACTTATATTTTAATTTTTTATTTTGATAAGGTTTTTGATCGATAAAAAAATAACGGGATGAGATCGATTTTTGGTGATAAACTCGATATTCGCGCTGTATACGGACATTAAAAAAAAAATTGAAGTCTCTAGGTCTTATATCTTCTGTAATCGACGCGTTCATACATACGGACAGACGGACAGGACCAAAACTCAGCTCGTCGCCCTGATCCAGAATATATATATATACTTTATGGGGTCTTCAACGCCTCCTTCTGCCTGTTACATACATTTCAACAAAGCCATTATACCCTGATTTCCCGTTGAAAATGGGTTCAGGGTATAATTAAACTTTATGCTAAAAAATCTCTTAAAATTATTCTATTGTGTATTCGAATCCCTGACAACTTGGAATTTACTCGGGGCCCTTATTTTAGGTTCGGGTAGGGAAAGTAAAATCATTTCTCATCATGCGCTCGACCGAGATGGTCAACTTTTAAGCAGTGTCACCGAATCAGATATTTAGATCTGGCTACTTTTTAATAGCGATTTCTACAAAAATTAAACAAAAGCTATTAGTTATAAATTAGGCTATTTTCAAAAATTACATATAGTTAAAATAAAAGTTAACTAAAGCGCATTCGCTACTTAATGCGTAGGTGTGGCAGCACGCCTATGTATGTGTGCTCGTACACTCGAATGTTTATACATATAATATATGAATTCTTACCTGATTATTTTGTTATGATGTTGTGCAATTCTATGCAGTTCCGGTATTAAATTTAGGGCACAATCTGCAGTTCCGAAAGCCCCTATTTTTTTGTTTCTTATGTCGACCAGAATATCAATGCGACTATGTAATATACGAAATTGCCCGCAAGTGTATGTTATAAAAAATCCAAATAAGGAATCTTCAGCAAACAATGTGGTTACAACACATATACCAGCATACGCAGTAAATGTATATGTTAATGCATAACGTATCCAACTGTTGTGTGCATTGTAAGGAAAGATCATTTTATAGGGAAACGGCTTTACCGGTACATCAGTTCCCAAAATGAAAAATAGTTCTACTAGCGGTAGTATGCAGTACATAAGTATAAGGCAAGACAATAAAATTGTCATAACTTGAAATGTAATCATTCGCTTACGACATTCCTTGGCAATTTTGACGTTCTCGTTACTGTTGTATACAAAATAAATAAATTATGAAAATAGTATTTATGCAAATAAATTAAATTGATAAATATACGTAATTTTTATTAATACACATTTACTTAGAATAGCATCTGTACAAGAAATAAAAAATAGCATTGACAGACAAAACTCTACTAGTTCCAAAGGTCAATTAAATTTATTAGTTTTCATTACTGGTTATTTACAATGCTACAATGTTTCAAGTCATAAATGACACACGACTTTGTCGAGATATTTAGAACATCATACGAAATACTTTTTATACTCATTCACGAAAGTGAAAGTGGCTTTGTAGAATGACCGTCTTGCTGTCCGTCTGTCCGTATGAACGCAGTCTATTTCGGCGCTATTGAAGCTAGAGACTTGAAATTTGTAACACATAACTGTGTATATCTCCGAGTTATAAAGTGTTAAATTATTCTGGATCCGCTTAGTAGACCGTGGCAAATCGGAAAATGCTTTTTCCGATATAGCAGAAATCATGTTAGTTGAAGATTAAAAAAACTCTAGTCGAGAGTGCTCGACTAGATACTACCCTGAACCAAAGGAATAAAAATGCACATTCAATATGGCACAAATTTCAATTTCAATGTATTTAAAAATATAAAGGAAATAGAAAACTCATTTAATTAAATATATTTTCAATTTCAATTTATTTCACTCTTTGTTATAATTACATGATGTTGTCAATGGTATTTTACAATGTTTGAAGAGTTTAGGCTAATACATAGTCCTTTTCTGCTAAGTTATTTATTTACATACATGACATTTGGATATGCGATAACATTATTATTTGGGGAAAAAAACAAAGAAATAGGAAACCCCATGAAAATTTACTACAAACTAAATTAAGTTAATTTAAATACTAAACACTAAAAACTACAAGTCTATGCCAGGTCGTTTATATATGAATATGATGAATTCTGACACTTGGTTATAAATTTTTGCGATAGTCGCAATAGGCTAATATCTACCAGTTCAGTATTGGCTCGACAATGTAGATCAATCGTGGAATGATGCCATGGAAGATTAAAGATAAGCTTCAGGACTTTATTTTGCGTGATCTGCAACTGGTTTATGTGACATTTGGCTATATCTGACCACACTGGCGCACCGTAGAACATAACTGCTTGGAATATTGACCTAAACAAAATCATTTTGTTTTCTATATTTAGTCTCGACTTTCTATTTATAAACGGGTATAGCGTACGGACTATATGTTTAAGTTTTTTGATTGTATTAGTTATGTGATCCTTAAAAGTAAGTCTTTTGTCCAGTGTAATACCCAAGTACCTGACATTTGGCTCCCACTTTATATATTCCGAGCCCAATCTGATGTCAATTGTCGGTACGTAGATGTCTTTTCGTTTTTTTGTGAAAAATATTGCCTTGGTCTTTTCTGGGCAGACTAACATTTTCCATTGGGAGAAATATGCATCTAAAGAGTTATATGCTGATTGGAGGTTTCTAACTATGTCAGCGGAACGAATTCCTCCACAAAGAATTGCCGTATCATCCGCAAAAACCGAGGTGGTGCACTGGGGTAATGTTGGGAGATCAGAGGTATATATATTATATAGAATAGGCGATAGACATGAGCCTTGGGGGCAGCCTGCCGAAATATTGACTGATATGGATGAAGCATTTCCTAAATATACGACGTAGGATCTATTTTCTAGATAATTTTGAACAATCTTTATAGTTGCAAGATGAAAATTAAAATGTAACATTTTGTGGATTAGGCCGTCATGCCAAACTGAGCCAAATGCGGCTTTGATGTCCAGCAGTATCATTCCCGATGACATAGAACTAGCAAAATTATTTTAATTAATTTTTTTTTTATTCTACAAAGCGGCTGAACAGTATTGTGTTCGCTTCTAAAGCCAAACTGATGACTTGGAAGGATATTATTAGAATCAATAAAACTAGTTAATTTATCTTTAATAACCTTCTCAAGGATTTTGCTGACTGCCGATAAGAGACTAATAGGCCTATAGGAAGAGAGCAACTCGACAGGCTTATTTTGTTTTAATATAGGAACAACTTTGGCACATTTCCAGACAGACGGAAAATAACATAGCTCTAGACATTTATTGACTATGCAAGTAATAAACCTAATACCCTTCGGAGGTAGGGCTTTTAAGCATAGTGTTGGGCTCAGCAACAGTGCTGCCAACTTTTTACCAGAAAAAAAAGCTGTTTCTGGATGGAAGCAAGGGGAAAAAAAGCTGAAAATTTTCGCAAAAAAGCGTTAAAAAAAGCGGCTTTTATGGTTTGATTATTTTATTACATTTTTTGATTATTTTATTTTGAAATTTATAAGATTTTTAGAATGTTATCTAGTTCTTCGCGACTAGCATCGGTTTCGGAATCGTATGACAGGTTAGTACCTATCATGCGCAGATAATTCGGAGGGACTTTATAGTCATAGCAGCATTTGCCTAGTCTTTGCAAACCATATCTGTGTGTTATATTAAATAAAAAAGTAATATATTAATCATAATCATCTATTCACTCTCAAAAAATATTACCTTATGCTAAGAATACTGTTTATCGTGCTTAGGCTCATTGAATTCCTTAACTTGGACTTTACCAAGTTAAGCTGGCTAAATAGGCGTTCAACATCCGCGTTGGACCATGGCAAAGACAACATTTGCAGGGCAACAGCTGCCAAGTCAAGGAATCTGCGGTTGCCACCAGAATCCTTGTACTGAGAGACCTCATTCCAAAATTTTGTGCTGTCATTGACGTTTTCCCACTTAATAAGATTTATATCATTGTACTGACGCTCAATGTCTGCTATTTTGTCTACTTGGAGGTGTTCTAAAAGTTCTGTAATTCCTTTTTTTTTAGTTGACAGAATTTGGTCAACGGAAAAAACGTTAATGTTTTTCAAAATTCGAAAATTGTCGGGGAGCCTGAAAATAAAATCAAAATTATTTAAAGGTCGGTAGAAGAATCTGACAAATTGGTTACCTCTGCTTTAGCTGCTTGATAAGTTCAATTACAAAATAAGAGCAGCGAGCACGAATTTCTTTTTCAAGGCCTGCATCGATATTCAAGGATTTGATTTTCTTTTCAAAGTCATAGCCTTGATACATATCGGATTTTGCGTGTTCTTCAAAGCTGTCAGTTTCCAAAACATCAATTTCCTTGTTAGGTGGAATAATTAAATTTTGCAGCGACTTAATTGCAAACATTAAATCGTTTAGCAATTCTGTGGCATTTGCTTTATTGCTTTGAAAGCACTTATTAACTTTCTGCATGTCCGACAGAATTGGGTTTAAAAAAATTAAATATAATTGATTTATTTGGTCATTATACAATTCATAAAGAATTTGTGATTTAAAGCATTTTTCTTTTGTCGCTGCCAATTGAAAATGCAATTTAAGTTCGTCCCATTGCGCCAAAATGCGTGAGACAGCCAACTCAATGGATAGCCACCGGGTGTCGCTCACTTTAGGTATTTTCAATGGAGCCTTGGAAAATATAAAAAAAAATTGAACGTTCAAATAAAAATAAACTGAAACGTTTGAGAAAACACTCTGTTGACAACAACGAAACGAGACACAAAAAACAAAAATATTGAAAAATAAAAAAGTACAATAACGATGTTAATAATCGAAATTCAAACCGGCACATTAAAAATAAAATACTCACATTTAAGTAGATAAGTTAAACACAAATTCAAGGACATATAACAGAGATATGAGCAAATTTTCACACAAACCTTATCATCATTAATACATTTATAAATTTTATTATACTCCAATTGCCGAATTGAACTTTTGCAAAACCAATTATAGGTTTCATAAATTAGAAACTCCAATTTCTCAGGCAAATGTTTTCTACAGACTTGGCTAACGGCAAGTTGCACAGAATGACAAACACATTTCACCAAAATTAGCTGTGGAGCCTCCTTCTTCAATTCTGTGTAGACACTCTTGTTTGTGCCAACCATAACAGAAGCGTTATCTGTTCCAATACCAATTAGATTTTTTATATCTAATTTATGTAACAATAACACATTTTTTACACTATCAACAATGCAAGTAGCGTTACCAATTTCTAGTTTTACTAGACTTAAAAATGTGGAGACGAATTCACCTCGCGGTAAGGAAAAATACTTAATTACCAAACCTAAATAAATATTGCACATACATGCAATATATTAAATTAAATATATTAAAATAACAAAAACAATTATTAAGATAAATACCTAAAACTTTTGTAACGCTAATGTCCGTTGATTCATCAAGTAAAAGGCTGAACTTAGAATCGCCTATATCGCTACGCAAGTCTTCGTCAAAATGTCGCGCCAAAACATTTTTTATGATGCCGGTGCATTTTGTGCGGTGGAGCTTAATTCGCCCGGCCGTTGCACTATCAAAATGACTGGAGCATAGATTGCCCAAATGATCTATTTGTGCCATAGCTGTGTGCTGTGCAACAAATAGACATAATGCTGCTTCCTGCTCCAAAGTTTTTGTAGGCAAGCTACTAAAATCAATTTTATTTTTTTGTTGGAAGCCACCCAACGCACTTGTGTGTTTTTTTGTACTTGCATGAGCACGAAGATCACTCAGCTTTGCAGTTATTGTGGTTTTACAATAACTGCAATAGACCCTTGTGTCGTCCGTGTCATCCCTGCGAAGCCACGCTTTAAATTCTTCGCTCTTTATCCAAGCATCTCGGCATTTTTGTTTGTATTCTTTTGCCATTTTGAATTTTGTCGCTGAAAAATCACACTTTGAACACACTTTGCGTAAAGTAGTGGTGGTGATATTGTCGAATATCGATATAAACGTATGACAAAGATGCCACTCTTTTACATTTGGTATATTTCTATCAAAACTGGTAAATTTCAAAAATTGATCGCAAATGGTAGATTTTGATACCAAACTTTTTTTTTACAAGTGGCAACCTTGTTTTCATAAAATTGGTGGCAGTATTAAAAAAAAGCCGAAAAAAAGCGAAATTCATTTCTAAAAAAGCCGGAATTCCCGCTTCCCGCAATTCACAAATTTTTCCCGCAATTGGTCTTCGGAAAAAGCCAGATTTGACGGGGAAAAAGCTAAATTGGCAGCAGTGCTCAGCAATCATCGCTTCATTGTAATTAAGAGCAGCAGTTCATAGAATATGTTATCATTTAAGAGAATTTGTAACGGAGATCACGCTCTCCCTTTTGCGTTGTCTCTTTCACCCACGCACCGGCTCAGCTTAATCCGCCGGCTCGCGTACATTGTAGTTAGTATGCAATTAACTCTTGTTTAGAGCAGATGCAGTGTTAGATTGACTATTACAAACATAGTAGCGGACAGCACGACAGCCTAGTCGCTTGCTCGCGTCTATCACATAAACTCTGTAAACTCTAATAATCGCTAATAAACTAATCATTAAGTAAATTCAATCGTTTATTAATTTAAAGCTTTTCGAAAAATCTCGATAGCTCAACACATAGATTGTCAATTTTATCAATCCCTGGTGACTTCCCTATTTTAAGCCTACTCAGTATGCCTTTTATAACGTTGCCGTATAGCAAATTGTGCGACTGAAAGAATTGAGGCATCGACGGCTGCATTAGTTACCGTATCGCCGAGCCCAGCAGAGGATTGAGCTAACGCCTCGGCCTTTTCTTCGTCCGTCGAGTGACTGATGTTATTATTGACTAGTGTTGGAATGTTTGGGTGCTTTTTTCTAATAATTTTGGAGAGTTTCCAAAACGGGGAAGAACCTTTATCTAAGGCTGCAAGAGTAATATTCCAGGACTTATTTCTAAATTCTAGTATTGCTTTGGTGATCAGCTTATTTAGCCACTTGACTAAGATGAGATCGGACTGATGACGGAACCTTAGCCAGGTGCGCCGTCGTATGTTTCTACTCTTTATAAGGTTAAGAATGTTTGGCGGCAGTGGTTTTAGGGAAAATTTCACTTCTTCCTTTGGGATGCTAATATCTTTCGCTACACGAAGGACATCATGTGATTTTCGACGAAACGAGCGAATCTTACCCAGTTTGCTCTTTTTATATTGAAATAAAAGTAGTTTGCGGACGCGGCAAAGTTGACAGAGATCTCAAGAAGCACTGGAAAGTGATCAGAATTTAATGTATGTAACACTCGTGGGCTAGATAGATAAGCGGGACGATTGGTAAGGAAAATGTCTAAAGTTGAGGGTCGCCCGTGACTTCCTGCGGGGTAATATGAATGCTCGCTCTAGAGCATCCCCATGACTGATGTATGCAATTAAAATCTCCTCCCAGAATGAATGTTCTATTTGCACTACACAACTTATGTATGTCGGCCTGAAAAAGCTTTTTTTTTAGAGGGATTTTCGCGGCCCCTTGGGAAATAGCATGAGAAAATGGACATCTCTGTACCATCGCTCATAAAGATGTTTCAATAACTTTCGTATTTGGGAGAGGAAGCAAAGAGTGGCGAATATTTCTTTTAATGAAGATTGCTACCCCTCCCCCTCTGCTAATCGTACGATCGTTTCTGTAACAGCTATAATTACGAATCTTAAAAGGGGTCTCATCTTTTAACCATGTTTCAGATACAAGGCAAATGTCAATGTCATAGTCAAGCAGAAATTGATAGAATTATTCTTTTTTGTTTAGAATACCCCTGGCATTCCACGCAATGATCTTTAATTTGTCTAACATTAGGAAAGAAACTTGAAGGCAAGTGAGGTAATTACCTCAAACGGATCAGTCTTGGATCTACAGTTTCGAAGATTGCTAATAAGCTCAAAAGTAAGACTTTTTAACTCGTCTAATGAAAATAGATCAGTACTACTTAAGTCTGGTTGCCTGGCCCAGGTTGTCTTTAATGGTTCAGATATCTGCCTATTAAGATTTGGAAAGAATTTAAGGCAGTTTATCTGTGGTGCCTGTGATGGCGTTCTGACTATCCGTTCTTTGGAGATGCCCTTTTCCCTTGCCTTTACATAGTTCATTCTGCCTGGACACTCCACTGAAGCTCTGACAATTAGCACTTTTCTGGGCACTCTATAGTTTTGTGGTTACCAGCACAATTCATACAATATGGCTTAACACTACAATACGACGATCCGTGTCCGAACATCTGGCAATTGTAGCACTGAGTGAAGGTGTTTGGCCTGCGTCTTTGGTAGTCCCATTTGACTCTGATATGGTCAATAATAGAGTAGTTTTTCTTTAGCTCGTTTAGACTTGTTGATTTATTGACGAAGTAGACTAAATACAGTGAAAAATTGCTGTTGTTGGGTCGTTTTCTTTGGATAAACTTGACATCTGTACACTGTGTAAGGTTACATTATTTTCCAGCCGGGGTCAGAGTCTCAGTCTGCCCAGGGCCATAACTCACAAGAAATTTGTAAGTAGATACGGGACGTATTGAGTTAGAGAAATGGGAGAGGGGGGGGGAAGTTGTATAGGTTAGGCGACCACGTGGCCTGAGCTCGCCGACCACGCCCACGCCCACGCGTTTGCACGCGGGAGGGCGGCCGAAATCGAGTGGCGCGATCGAGCGCACTCCAGATTGCGGGGGGTCGGGGCTGCGAAAGCGTGTCGTGGAATGTTAGTGGGGTTACTACGATCGGTAGACCGCGGATCGAGGAACGCCCAGCGTTGCCGCCGGCGCTCACTCAAGACCACGCGATTTTGCTGCCAGAGTTTTAACCTTCTGGCGAACGGGATTTGCCCTCGTTCAAACTACCAGTTAGTGTTAGTTATGGTTAGTAAACTAACAAATTGATTATTAAACTAGCTACGAATAAATACGCAACCATCTCTACGTGCATTTCCTTACTTTATTAAACTTGTCGCCTTATAACCTTTATACCTGCTAGTTACTTATATTTTCCCCTTTTGAGCGCGTCTGCTCACATCGAGAGCTCCAGACTGACTAAATGCTACACGCAGCTTTCAATCCTCTTCTGCCGCTGTGCAGATTTTACCACGCGACCAGCAATGCAATTCACCACCGCGAGCTTTCAAGCTGCACGGTTGCATTGCTGATCGCGTTCCCGCCCACTCATTTGAATTTCGCTTACTTTCTAAGGCTAATCGCTACGGCACTTACATCTAATTATCAACTACTTAGTGCTATCTTACGAACTAACGCTTATTCTAATAACAACTAACTCCTATCAACTTATAAATGACTTCAAAATGTAAACCAAAATCTATATCGAAATCCACTCTTACAAACTAACTCTTATTCTAATAATACACTTCAAAATACAACCTTACTATCTACCAAATCAAAATCTGCAACAAAATCCATTTCATTTCCCTTAATCACTACAAAATCAAACTATGCCTCAAATCCTTATTCAAATCCCATTCACCATAACAAAACTCTATTTCATTCGATATCTTTACTTATTACCTACAAACATGTAAGGTGGGCAAAAAGGCCGCCTTACAACTGAAGTCCCATTTGGATAAGCTTGTTTCTAACCGCATCAGCGGGAGTGTCATCGAGGCCCGTAAGTACCGCTTTGTATGGTTTATTATGTTTTTTTTGCAAAGGAGAAAAACTCATGATTAGAGCTTTGCAGGTGGGCGCAGACATTGGCAAAATCTGCCTCTTCTTCGCAATGCAATTTGACTCCGATAGAAGTTTTTCTGATTGAATAGTCAATGACATTTAGCGATTTGCAAATACCATCAACAAATAACATCAGATTCACATCGGATTTCAGCCCGCGACTTCTCGCCGCTACTCACTAGACCACCTCACTTTTCGAAACTACGTTGGAAAAACTGAAATAGATTCACTGCTGCAGCGCCATCTAGCAGAACTAAACCAAACTAAAAGCTGATGTCATTCTAAGAACGCGCTAGAAGAAGCTTGAATATATTTACATATGTGTGCACACGTATACGAAAATTTTTGTAGCTGCTGCACGCGCGTTTGTTAATTGGCCAAACGTTTTATTATTTTTTAACGTCGGTTGACTTAACGGAATTTAATGAAACTTTCAGCATATGATCTACATATTCTATTGAATATTTGACAAATTTAAAAAGATGAAAAATCATGCACAATTAGCTATAGTGGCATCTGAATTTAACTTGAATGTTTTTATTCGACGGACAGACGGACAGGGCTAAATCAACTCAGCTCGTCGCCCTGATCAAGAATATATATACTTTGTGGGGTCTGCCACGCCTCTGTGTCTGTTACATACATTTAACAAAACCATTATACTCTGATTTCCCATTGAGAATGGGTTAAGGGTATAAAAAGCACTTCATTGCACTCTTAAAAAACAAAAAATTTTAAATTAAATCCAGAGGCAATTGATCTTTAAAAAAAATCCTGAGCTATGATTAAATAATATAATTATAATATAATTTTTTTTATTTAAATTTGTAATTTTTTCTTTTATACATTTTTTAAAAATAAACAAGTAAGAACGTTGCAGTCGAGCGTAACCGACTGCGGAATACTCATTCACACCCCATTAGCAGTTTAGTTGCTAAGTTTCGCTCTAATACTGTAGAAAGTGCGGTTTTTCCCGATTTGCTCTATTGGGCGTAGACACCCCATTTTTTGTCAGTTCTTAGAACGAGATAACGGTACCTTAACTGCAAATTTTGAATGCTTACCCTCAAAAAATGTGAAAATTACAGGGTATTTTTCGATATGCCACGCCCCTAAAAAGGCGTAAAAAATATTTTCAGGTCATCGATAGAGGAGGTTACTCGTAACTTAACTATCTAAATTTGAAGCTTCTAGCTATTATACTTTCGGAGATATAAACTTTTACGGTTTGCCACGCCCCCTGCGGGCGGACATATATCCGACACAGGTTTTTGGTCTTGGGTGATCAGCCGAGTATATGTATAAAATTTGAGGTCTCTGGCATCAATAGTGTCCAAAATATAGCAGAATTTAAAAAATCACTATATCTTCAAGTCCGATTTGCCACGCGCCTAATGGGCGTAGATTTATAGTTTGTACTTTGACTATATAGAATCATAACATTAGCTGCCGTGCAAAATTCCAGCGCTCTAGCTGTAAAACTCTTGGAGATACAGTTTTATCCGATTTGCCACGCCCCCAATGGGCGGAGATATATCCGCCATAGCTCGTGATCTTG